CAATTCCGGGTCCTCTCTGCATCCAAGCGCGAAACCCAAAGGCCCGGGTCCAAATCTCGAATCTTGAGCCCTAAACCCTAGACCCTAGACTCCTAGACCCTAGACCCGAAACCCTAAACCCTAAACCCTAAACCCTAAAGTCCCTAAACCCGACAAAACCCTCAACTTTCACAGTCATTTCTGACCTGCGCGCGGCCCAGGAAAGGCAGCACCTCTCCGATGAAACCGCCCAGGGCTCGGCTGTGTTCCAAAATGCCCCCTGAACCCTGAACCCTGAACCCTGAACCCTGAACCCTGAACCCTAAACCCTAAACCCTAAACCCTAAACCCTAAACCCTAAACCCTAAACCCTAAACCCTAAACCCTAAACCCTAAACCCTAAACCCTAAACCCTAAAGGCCCTAAGCCTACACCCTAAACCCCCCTGAGAACAAAGTAGGGTGCGCCGTTGTTCCTGAACCCGAAGCTTTAAGCCATAAACCTCTAAACTCGAAACCCCAGACCCTAAACCCAAAACCTTACACCTTTTTTCTCTCCCCCCACAACAAAAGGGAATCGGGGTGCTACTTGGTCATCCTCGTTGAGGGGAGGTTCGAAGGCGCTGAAGGTTCAATTGTTTCCCTCCCTCGTTTTTAGGGTTTATGTTAGACAGGTTGGTGGTCTCTTTAGGTTGCGGGTTCTGCTTAAAAAGGGGGGTAGATATAGGGATCCTTATTATGGTATGTAGGGGCCGTATGGTGTAGTTTATGGCACCTAGTTGAAGGTTCTTAAGGAGATTTTGTCATCCATTCTCCTCGCCTCGCACGGGTGTCCTGCTAGCTAACCTGGCTAGGTCCCTGAAGTGCCCGCCTCCAGTATCCTTGGAGCGCCCAGCCCCGGAAAGTTCCGCAGGTTAGTCCCTGCCTCGAGTATCGTTGGAGTTGCCCTGTCTAGAGAATCCCACGGAAGCTCACACCGAGTATCCTGGATGTGCCCACCCCCAGAGGATTCTGTGGGACGCGCGGCAAAGTATCCGTAATTGCCTGCCCGAAAACGGCTAGATGGCTGGGTGTAGGGTTTAGGGTTTAGGGTTTAGGGTTTAGGGTTCAGGGTTTAGGGTTTCTTGCATCGGGTAGCTTCAAGGGTGGGGATGATCGAAGTAATATTTGGTTTTTCTGATGGGCATGTTGTGTTTCGTGTATCCTCACATCGTTTCGGGCTTCGAGTTTTAGGCTTTAGGTCTTAAGTTTTGAATTTAGGGCTCCCGAGTGGGTTCCATCGGGTTCAACGTTTCGATTTCCTGGGCATCTTCTTTGTTTTCTGGAGTGTCTCTACTACGTGCTGTTGCCACAAATATCCAGGTGTTGTGTGCAGTAATAGGGCAATAAGGGGTTTCATGACCATTGTGTTTCGAATATTGAGCGCCTGCTTTCTAAATTGGAGCTTTAAATTACCTTTGACAGAATTGTGCGAACGTTGTCGTGAGTTTGTTGCACTGCAGTGCCCATGCACTGAGATCATGCCCGAACTTGATCCAACCTGGCAGATGGTACTGCTTCTGAGGTGCTGCGGATGCACGTCTGGAGCTTGGGATTGTGCAGAGCAGTTGTAGTGGTTGTTCTGAATCGGTGAGTTCTCGACTCCACCCCAAATCGACAGAATTATTTTTTTTTAGGAGATCAGGAGGAACCCCCTAGTTTCTCTTTTCCGTTATCCTTACCAGCAAGCCCACATCCCAGTGCCAAACTCCAAGCCCCCCAACTCGGCAGAAAACTCCTTGAACCCTCAATATAGGTTTACGAACATAAGGGACCCCTAGTATAACCCCCCAAGTAGTAGGATTCCCTGATAGTAAAGACCCCAGTAAGATACGCCCTCATTCCGGAAACCCCTAAATTCCGCAGAGCACAGCTTGAGTTGCTTGCGTCTCCCCATCAGGTCCACGTCTGCATGAGATCAGCGAACTTGCTCGGACGGATAGGCTCAGGCGCATGGAAGGGGCTCGCAAGAGCCCTTAAGCCCTAAACCCGACTGTAAACCCGAACGTCCCCTAAGCCGTGAACCCCAAAAAACCCCTAAAGCTCAAGAACCCCTTTCTGGAGCCTCAGGGTTGAGGGCTTCAGGTCCCTCAGTGAAGGAGAAAACGAAACTTTGCAGGAGCAGCAAAAAAAGTAAGAGAGCAACAATCTTAGCAGCAATAGCAGTCGTCATGGCTCATATTCTGAACATGACACACGCACACAACGATACTAAAAACAAGAGCACGGTTAAACCGGGTAAAAGAGGAAAGCCACGACAGAAGCACGTGCTGCCACCCTCGAAACTGCTGGCAAGCTGCACATCTTGCGGCCGACCTGTTCATTCTTGGGGCTTCGGGCTCAGGGTCTATACAACTTTGGAGTTGTTCCCCGTTTGGTGCCTGCATGGTCCACAGCTCTCAACCACCTTTAGGCACACCTCAACGGTAAGCCCTCAACCCTCAACCCTCAACCCTCAACCCTCAACTCTCAACCCTCAACCCTCAACCCTCAACCCTCAACCCTAAACCCTAAACCCTGGTGTTGGAGGCATACCGGAGAAGGACGCTGTCGACCTCTGTGTCCACTTACGTGCCGGTCACTGGCTCAGAGCTGGAGATTGTTGCCCTAAACCCTAAACTCGAAGCCCTAAGCCCGATATGCTTGAGCCCTTGCATCTGGCTCCATGTAAACGACTACCGCACCTGGATGCTGAAACCCTGGAGATTGTCCAGCAGCCCATGAAAGCCTGTTTAGGGCTGTGCTTGTGACAGGGCTATGTTTCCGTCGGCATGCCCCAAAATGCTCTTCTGCCCTGAGCTCCAGACCCCTAAGCCCAAAACCCAAACCCTAAACTCTAAACCCTAAACCCTTGTCATTTCAAACCACCCCCCCCACCTTCTTGTGCCTGGGGGACGTCAGCTTCCCGAGCTTTGTCAAGATTCGCCGGCTGGCGGCACAGCAGACTTCTTCCCATTCAGCCGTCTTCCCCAAACCCTAACCCCAAACCCCAAACCCCTACGAACCTTCCGGTCGGAGGGTCCTGCAGGTTTAGGGTAAGGTTTAGTGTTTAGAATCTGAGCCTTTCTCCAGGATTGCGAAGTTCTTTGGCCATCGCCTCCACGAACTCCCGAAAGCACCTGCCAACCGCGCGCAAGATCCTGGTCCCATCCTTAGAGTCGTTTTGGGGCTCGCGTGGTGTGAGGGGGAGGTCTCATGTTTTGGTGGAAGTTTAGGGGTTTAGGTTGTATCTGTCTCCTTGGCTGGCGTGTAGTGCAGGTCTGTTGCATATGCTGATTTTTCTGTGGAGTTGGGGGAGCCAGACTCTGCAGCCTCTCACGACATGAATCTCTGGCTTTCAGACACATGGTCAGACAATAGGCATCAAATCGTAAGCTCTTTCAATGCCATGCTCGGTCCGTGATGGAATCTTACGCACACAGTGTCACGCATTTTGCTTGTACACTGAGAAACCAGCATTTTGCCGTGCCTCGGCCCTAAACCCTCCAAAGCAGTCAAGAACCTGCCTGGAGGTAAACAACGACGACAGCAACAACAGCAACATTCACAACGTCAACAACAACGTCAACGACAAACACAAATAGTACTAGTTCCAAATACGCAAACAAAGACATCAATTGAAGCAACAACAACGAGAACAACAAACAGAATCAAACAGACAAGAACAACAAAACTCACAAGAAGCAACAAACAAACAAAGCGACACGCAAACAAACAAACACACAGCCAAACAACAAACCAAACGAGCAAACTACCTACCTACTCCCTACCTACCTAACCCAACCAACCAACCTAACCAAGCAAACGAACAATCAAACAAACAAACAACCAAACACGCAAACAAGCAAACAAACACGTACGAACAAACCAAAGCACATAAAGAAGCACAAACAAACAAACGGACAAACAGACAAGCAGAGAACCAACAAAAGCAAGCAAGCAAGTAAACAACACGCAAGCGGGCAAGCAAACAATCACACATGTACACACACACACACAGACGAACACAACCACACACACACACACACACACACACACACACACACACATACAAGACAAACAAACAAGACACAACCAAGCAAACAAGCAAGACAAAAGCAAACACAAAAGCAATCAAGCAAACAATCAAGCACATGGACAAGCAAGCGCAAACAGGCAAAGCAAACAAAGAAACACAGAACCAACCACACAAACAGCCAAGAAAGCATACAAACAAACAAACAAACAAACAAACAAACAAAGAAACACATGAATAAATAGACTAATGCATAGGTAAACTAACAAAAAACTACAGACAAACAAGCAAACGAGCACAAAAGAAACAACAAAAACCAAACAAACAGCCACACGACCAATCGTACAAACAAACACAACAAACAAACCTGCAAACCAAGCACGAAGGCACGAAAACTCCAGTACAAGCAAACCGACAACACACAATAACAAAGCAAGCGAACCAAGCAAAAACCAGAGCAAGCCAACGCACAGAACCAAAAGCACAAACAAATGAAACACACACACACACACACACACACACACACACACACACACACACACACACACGCACGCACCCACCCACCCACCCACCCACCCACCCACCCACGCACGCACGCACGCACGCACGCACGCACGCACGCACGCACGCACGCACGCACACATTTAGCAACACATCCCAACCAACCAATCAGCTAACCAACAAAAACAAACACAACAAGCAAGCAAGTGATCAAGCAAGCAGGCAAGCAATCACCATATACAAATTCAAAAACACAAACACAGATATTTCTTTTGAAGCTCCCTTTGCGCGTGGCAACGCGGCGTTCGATAATGCCTGCTAGGCGCGCCTGCGCGCACGCGCACGCTGGTACCGGAGCTGCTTTCTGGGCTTGTTTAAAGTTTTAAAGGCCCCGGTCCCTGACTGACCAGTCCCTACATCCCCCCGCCCCAAGTCACCAAGACCAACAACGCCCCCCAGGCCGTGAAATGCTCACTCAGGTCCATGGCCTCTTTAGAGTTCACACATCGCAGGCCCCTGCATGAGCCAGTACCCGAAATCCTGAACTCGAAACTCGAAACTTGAAGCCCAAAGCCCGAAACCCAGGAGTGGGTGGTGCATGTCGCCATCTCGCAGACAGTCGCCGACTCTTCCAACGGTGTGGTGTGGGCCTCGTTTGTCGTCTGCTGGTTAGGGGTGTCAGGCTGTAGGTTTCTTGGCTTTGAGGAGACTTTTTAGCTTCGGCAGCCGGGTCGCGTTGGGATGTTCCTCCTTCTACTCACAGTCCTTCGTAGGGATTATAGTACTCCTATTATAATCCCTATCAAGGACTGTCAATATAAGGGGGAAAATGCCCCAGCGGGATTTGGGCTCGATTTGGAAGGGAAAGCACGCAGCTTGCTTGAAGGCTCATGGGTAGTTACAAGTAGGGTCATGAGTACCTGAATGAAGGTTACGGCATGGGTTGCCTTACTCATAGCCCTCCCTACCTTCAAGTAATTCTCAGCGCAATGGCATGCACAATCGGTTTTGCTGCTGCCTGTTGCCAACAATCTCATGCTTGTGCCTCCTCCTGAACATTGTCTCGCTTCAGCCCATGGTTACGCAGTGGAATCCGCAACCTCTGGCCCCTTCCAAACCCTACGCTCAAACCCGCAGATGGTATGCAGGTTTAGGGTCTAGTCACTAAACTTAGTGTTTAGCGTGTCGGGTTTGGGGCACTGCTGCTTCTTTGTGCCGGGACCTTGTTGCCCACAGCAGGAATAGGGCCAGGGGTCAAAAGGGTCCCATACGCAAGCCCCTTAAGCCCTAGACCCCAGACTCCCCTAAACCCTGGTACTCCCTGCACGGCTAAGCCCTTCTAAGCCGGGTCAAGCCACTTGCGTCGAGGCCTTGCAGTGCTGGCAGCACGTGCTGCGGGCGTGCAAGGAGGGATCGAAGGAGAAGGCACGGGGGCCACGGGACCCAAAGCCCAAAACATACTTTGCGAGGTATCGTTTAGGGGCTTCATGGGAGCGTCTTCGTTCAGAGGGTTTCCGAGGTGCTAGGGGTAAAGTTTTAAGGATTCTGAGATTTGGGGGTTTACGAAGTTCGGGGTACCATATTGGGGTCCTTCTTAAAAGGGAATTAGGGGTCCCTGATTTTCGTAAACCCCCCTTTAGGGCTAACTGATTCAAGGGTGTCTCTGCTTGGCCAAGCCCGAGACCCTTCACAGAAAACCGGTAAAGCGGCCCGGGGCCCTAAAACCCTAAACCCGAAACCCTAAACCCTGAACCCTAGACCCTAAACCCTAAACCCTAAACCCTAAACCCTAAACCTTAAACCTTAAACCCTATAGACCCTAGACCCTAAACCCTAAACCCTAAACCCATAAATTGCACTGTCGTTTAGAGCTTTCGTGTTGAGTTTGGGTTGACTTTCGGGAGGCGTGTGGGCTTGTGGTCAAAGAACTTAGTTTAGGCTATCGTAGCAAGGTGGGGGTGGTACGAAAACAGGGGGGGAACCCGAAAAAGAACATAGACCCCCTAAATAGGATTCCCTTATAATCAGGACCCCAAGAAGGGCACCCTAATTTGATTCCCTTATAACCAAGGACCCCCAATAAGGTACCCCCTAATTTGGGAAACCACTGCTTGGAGGTTCATGGTACTCATGAACCAATTATAACTGTACTTAAACCCGTACGCTTAGAAGTGGGTTATAAGTACAGTTAAAAATGGTTAATAAGTACGATGAACCCTAAACCCTAAACCCTAAACACTAACCCCTAACCCCTAAATCCTAAACCCTAAACCCTAAACCCTAAACCCAAAACCCTAAACCCTAAACCCTAAACCCTAAACCCTAAACCCTAAACCCTAAACCCTAAACCCTAAACCCTAAACCCTAAACCTCCAAGTATAGGTTGTGAGCGCCCTCAGCCACGGGCGCACACCCAACGAGCAGCTGCAGCTTCTGCAGTCGGTGAGCCAGTTGGCCAGGCCCGGAGGGGGATGTTTAGGGCCCTTACTTGAAGGTTCTAGCTATCATGAGTATTGTTACAGGTACCTCAACTGAGGTTATAGATTTGTAGGCTACCTACATAGAACTACCCATCCCACCTTCAAGTAGGTTGCCCTTGCATAGCACCGGGGGGGAGCGAGTTTGGTCTCGAGGCGTGGGCAGATCAAGGCGGAGGTGGCAGAGCCCATCGTGGAGGTGATGCAGTTTCTCCTGAACCTGGCCCTGCTCCTCTGGGCTCATCTCGCTGCTGCCGAGAGGGAGGCCGCCTCGAAGATCTTGGCCGCAGCCCTGGAGGCCCTGACGCTGTGCCTGCCATCCAGCCCGCAACACAGCGCCTTGACTCCATGTCGGGCCCTACCAATTTCGGGCCCTTCCAAAAATTTTCGGGAGTTGCGAAGTCTCGGCCCTCTCTCTTTGGCTTGAGGCATGCGAGTCTTAGACTGGGCTGACGACTTCCTGGAGCAAGTGGCCGCAAGCGCAGGCGCCGGGTCCCCCGAACTAACGCATGCTGGCACAGAAGCCTCTTCAGCAGTAGATATCTGCATGATTTGCAGATTTCGTAGCTCTTTTAAGCCGGAGCCGAAGCCGTCACCTGTGTTTTTTAAATTTCGAACGATGCAGGCGAGCTGGAGAGGGGCACCGCATCACTGCCCTGGTTGCAGCTTCTCTTCTCCGTGGTCGTGCGGGCTCGCCTTCAGCAAAGCGAGGCCGGCGTTTCATGGCTCACCCCGTGTCCTAGAAACAGAACCCTGGTAGGTGAGGGGAGGTTTCTGTGACCGGTTGTGTGGAATGCGCGGAACTTCGCGTTCTGACCTCAGGAGTTTCGGAAGGCCGACCCGCAGCTGCTGACGATGCAGCGCTCCGATGTCTTCGATCTCTGGCATGGGCCGCTGCTGCAGCGCTTCCGGGACCTGGCCGGGGATCCAGGCCAGCCCCAGCCCAAGCCCGAGCTGGGCCCGGTAAATCTCCGGGGCACCAGTGCCACCAGTGTGACCAGTGCCTGGCTGCGCTTGGCCGGCCTTGGAACGGACCCCGAAGCCCGTGGCCTGTGCCGATACAGCCTGCAGGCGGTCGAGGCGCTCCGCTTGCAGCTGCCTCCGAGAAGCCCCTCCTCGGCTTTACTCTGCCTTCGCCAGCTGCAGCTCCACCACCGGATCCTCCTGGAGGCCTTGAAAACTCCCCTGGCCCAGCCCTTCACACAAAACGCCAGCTGGCACTTTGCACACGTGACGGCCTTTGCGCGCCTGACCCTCGCCCAGAGCTCTGAGCCAGACTTTGTGGCGGCACTCAGCAAGAACGGCGCCAGTCGGCGAACTCCTTTGGTGGCTGTAAGGGTGCAGCTGGAACGATGCATTGAGCGGATTCAGGTGCAGAGCCAGGCAGCAGACGCCCTCGTGGATGTAGGCAGGCTGCGCCTGCTGCAGGCACAGGCCGCCCAGCAAGAAGCGCTCGTGGATGAGGGCAAGGGCGACCACCAGGCACGGGAGCGTTCGGTCGTTGTGCTGGATTGCGGGTGACTAGATGCGTAAACCACCATTGCTGAAAAGCCTTCTCTTTGAGCAGCCGGTACCTTTGGGCTTCGCACTTTCCTGGAAAGGTTTGTTTCACAATGACCGATACTTTCCCATGTGCCCATCCAGGCCCAATGTGTCGGGTGAGTGGATACTGGCAAAGCTCTCTGTCTTAAATCCCCTAAACCCAAAGCCCCAAACCAGAGACCCGAACTCCAAGATCCCAAAGCCTCCAAGAACTTAAGCCTCTCCCCTCCCCCCCTCCCCCGTCCCCCCAAAAAATAGCAAAAACAAGGAACACCTGAATTCCCCCCTCCGAACCCAACAACAAAAACCGGAAGCGTCTTAGGGATTTTTGGGGAGTATTTATTTATTTATTTTTATTAGTTTTTTTTTTTTTTTTAATTTTTGGGTACTACGTATACTTCTAAGATCTTCTAAGAAATAGCTCAACGGGCTCCAAGATCAGTAAAACGGCCTGAGTTCCACAGGAGCCCAGGGTCTTCCTGGAGGCGGCGCTGCAGGCTTGGGAGGAGGCCTTGGCCCTGGGCCCCTCGGTGGCCTCCAGGACTGCGCCACTTGGGTTTAGGGTTTAGGGTTGAGGGTTGAGGGCTTAGGGTTTAGGGTTTTGGGTGTACTGATGTGCAGTTGAAGGTTTATGGGTAGCTCTAAGTAGGGTTCTTGGTAAGGGAAGCGATTATTATAAGTTGAATTCCCGTGAGCCTTCAAGTAGGGTGTGGAGGATTTAGGGTCTGCTGTGATATGCTGCGCTGAGCGCGGGTCGGGGTAGAGATTCGAGTGACGAGTGCCTCCTAACTTTCGAAGAGCCGCTGGCCATCGTGCAAAAAACGCCCGAGCTCCAAAACCAAACGGCAAAAGGACCGGAGCCAAAGACCCAAGGGCCTACCCCAAGCCCCCACCAACCCCGCCAAACTCTACACCCCGCCGACCGTAGACCACCTTAAACCCAACTTGGGAACCCCCAGGCCCTAAGCCTCCCACTCGGCTTTTTGAGGCCCTCGGGCGTCGCCAAGCAAAACAAATGGAGGGGATACCTGCTCCCCGAATTGGCTTTGAACCATAAACCCTCGCTTGAGGTGGGCGTGTCTGGGGCCAGGGGGGCCTCCAGGCTGGGCAGTCGAGGTAAGGCGAAGCCATGCATTCACATGAGTTTAGTGGCTTTAGCACCTCTCAACGGCGCGGAGTGACCCAGCTTTTCCGCCCGTTCCCCAAGCCTTAAACCCCTAAACAGCTTTTTCGACCGGAACCCAAGCCTTTGAATTGCCTGCCCGAAACCCCCAAACCCTAAACCCGACAACCGTAAAACTTGCCCCAAAGAGCCCCACATTGACAGGACTCCTGCAGTGGTGGCGCAGGCGTTGCGGGCGGCGGAGCCCTTAGCCGCAGGCCGCCCAGTGGGTTTCTACCGGGAGCAGAGTCGCGGGGTTTTGGGGGTTTATGGTTTGGGGTTTAGGGTTTCTAGGGTTTAGGGTTTAGGGGGTCTAGGGGTTTGAGGTTGATTGAGGCTGCTTGGGTGGGTGGTTGCTGTCCGCCTGCACCAGGTGGCCCTCCTCCTCCTTGGGTCCTGCTGCTGCGCGATGCCTCCGATGCTGCCCACCTGCTTGAGAGCATGGACCGACTTGTTTTGGGTAACCCTAAACCCTAAACCCTAAACCCTAATCCCTAAACCTTAAACCCTAAACCCTAAACCCTAAACCCCAAACCCCAAACCCTAAACCCTAAACCCTACACCCTAAACACTAAGCCCTAAGCCCTTGGCCCCAGGCCCTAAGCGCTACGCCTTGCTTGGTTCTCAGAAGGTATTCAACAAATATTCCAAAGGAAGGACAAGGAAGGGTTATCGGGTTCTTGAGGTTTCCATACTGGGAGTAAGTCTCATAGTTCCTTACCTGAACAAGAAGCCCCTGAACCCTAAACCACACGAGCCCTAAACCCCAAAACAAAACCCCAAACCTCGACCATACGAGCCCTCGACCCTTAACCCTAAAGCCTAAACCTTAATCCATAAGAGCAGTACATCACAAGAGCCCTAAGGTCCAGGTTCCCAAAACCCATAACCCCAAACCTGTGGCATCAGGACCTTGATGCACTCGCTTTTCGCTCCCTGGCCGGGGCCTTTGATCAAGGTTCGTTGAGGGTTTGGGGTAGGGTTCGGTTTTAGGGAAGCGGGTTCACGTCCAATCCCAAGACCCCAATCGGGGTTGAGGGTATATATGGTTGACTTTACCCTAAACCTAAACCCTAAATCCTAACGCTTAAAGCCTAAAGCCGAAACCCTAAACCCTAAACCCCAAACCCCAAGCCCCAAACCCTAAACCCCCTCCCCCCCAAGCCTTAGACTTAGTGGTTCTTCGTCGGCCGCGTGTGGATTCAGGGGGGTTTAGGGTTTAGGGAGTTCAGCTCCCATCCCCTGGACGCTTTCTCGCTGGGTATAGCTACGTTTTCCCGACCTAAACCCAAAGCACTAGACCTTAAACCCGAAACCCTTTCGCCCTAAACCCTCAACCCCAAAACGAGTAAAGACCTGGGCTTGAGTTTGTAGGGTGTAGGTTTAGTTTAGGGTTTAGGGTGTAGTAGGGCTTAGGAGTTAAGGCTTGGGGCTTAGGGTTAAGGGCTGGTGGGTTTTTGGGGCCCAGAACTTGAACCCCAAGCCCGAGATGAGGTCCTCTGTTTGGCTTGCCTGGTCCGGCGCCATGGGTCGGCTGCCCTCGCGTGGAGTCGGTCAGTCCCTCAGTTGCTTGGGTTTCGGGTTTAGGGTTTACTGTAGGGTTTAGGGTTTAGGGGTTAAGGGTTTAAGGGTCTTAAACCCTAGGGTTTAAGGGTTTAGGGTTTAGGGTTTAAGGGTGGTTTAAGGGTTAGGGTTTAGGGTTTGTGGTCCCTGGCTGTGCAGGGGGGAGGTTGCGCTACGAGTGTCTTCAAAATCCCAAAGTCCGGAAACCCTCCTTTGTCCGAGAATGCCACAAACACATCAATCCCTAAACCCTGAACCCTAAGCTCCCAAGCTCCGAAGCTTCAAAGATGCGGCTTAGGGTTTAGGGTTTAAGGGTTTAAGGGTTTAAGGGTTTAAGGGTTTAAGGGTTTTAAGGGTTCAAGGGTTTAGGGTACAGGGTGTAGGGTGTAGGGTGTAGGGTGTAGGGTTGAGGGTTTACTCGAGCGCCTCCCCTTGAGCTGGAAGCTTTCGGGTTTTGGGCCTTAGGGAGGTCTCAAGGGGCCTTGATGTGGGGACGCTCTTCACGGATTCGGGGTTTGGGGTTTCAGGCTTTCTTGGGATTTAGGCGTTCCTGCGGGTTTCAGGGATCATGGAAACTGAGGGCTTCATGGCTACGGATTCCGGCTTCGGGGTTTAGGGTTTGGGATATCCTTGAGCGCTTTGCCCCATCAGCCAGCTGAGGCCATCTGTGCAAGAGGCTTCGCCCTGCAGTCAGGCACAGGGCTCGGGCGTCTTTACTCGCCCTAAGCCCTAAGCCCGAAGCCCTGAGCGCTAAGCCCGCAGCCCGCAGCCCTCAGCCCTAAGCCCTCCGCCCTAAGCCCAAAGCCCTAAGCCCCAAGCCCTAAGCCCTAAACCCGACTCTTGGGGTTTCTGAGGGTTGAAGTGGGTTTCGTTAGGGGGTGGGGCTCGAGCCCTTGGGTTTCATGCTTGCTGGACGTTAAGCTGAGAGGTTTATGCCAGAACCCCAAACACCGAAAACCCCCCAAACCCCAAAACCTTAAAAGAGCAATCCCTAAACCCTGAACCCTAAACCCTGAACCCTGAACCCTGAACTCCCCTGGCTTCGGGTTGAGGAACTGGGCCAACTGCGGGAGCTTGAGGTGAAAGCGGGAAGCTCTCTAAATTAGAGTCCCTCTGAGGGTTGAGGGTTTGGGGCCGTTTGGGGTTCAGGGTTTCGGGGTTAGCCAAGGAGAGACCAGTAGCAACCTGGACAGGTGCTGATTTTAAGGTTTAGGGGCTTGAAGTTGGGGTGCCTCTTCAAGCGAAGAGCTCAGAACCCGAAACTGCTTCATGTCCTGCACTCCGATACCCGAAGCCTGAACTCTGCACACTACAGGGACCCTTTCTTGGGTTTCGGGTGTAGGGTACCCTAAACCCTGAGCCTAAACCCTGAGTACCCTAAACCCTTAGTACCCTAAACCCTAACCCCAAACCCCAAACCCTAAACCCTAAACCCTAAACTCCATGGCAGGCTTGTACTGTGCTGCTGTATCGCATGGCGGGCGCCATGGGTCGTCTTGCCTCGGGGCCCTCGGAGGATCTCGAGGTACACCCTCTCTTGTGGCCTTGCCTTTGGAATTCAAGGGGTTTAGGGTTTAGGGTTTAGGGTTTAAACCTCAAGAACCCTGAAGCTTATAGTGCCTGTGCCGGCGTCCTGTGTGCTGCCGGAAAAGCCCTGAGCCCAAAAACCCGGAACCTTAAATCCAACAGTTCCCAAATCCCCTAAAGATTCCAGTCTTTATCTCTCAAGTTCTGCAGGGCAGATCGATAGCTTGACATTACTGCGGACGCTTCAAAAGATCACTTGGAGAGTGATGTGCCGTTGACAAGCTCACAGCCAAGTTCGCTTTTGACACGCGCACCCTCAGATCTGAACCCGAAACCCTAAAGCCTAAAGCCTAAAGCCTAGACCCCACAGTTGAATGCCAACAGTCGCGCCCCGAAAGCCCTCAATGCAGGCGCGTGAGGCAGCGGTCAGCTGGTGGCAGGTCGCCGAGGTGCCGGGGATGTGGAGGGGGGTTTGGGGGTTTAGGGTTCAGGTTTAGGGGTTGAGGGTTTGGGGATTTAGGGTTTAGGGTTTAGGGTTTAGAGTGTTAAGGTGTTAGGTATTGTTTTGTTCGGGCTTTGGTACAAAGGAAGTCTAGGCCTCTTTTCGTTGGAGGGCATATGGGGTTTAGGATGTAGTTGGGCGGGTGAGGGCCTGAGAAGGGTTGTTCCAAGGTTGTCGTGTGGGTGTAGAGGCAGCGTTTTTCAAGCGGCAGACCCTACCACCCGAAACCCTAAACCCTACACCCTAAACCCTGGACCCTAAGCAGCTCGCCCCACCCCCCCCCTCCCAAAAAAAGAAGAAAAAAAGAAAAAGGAAAAAACAAAAAGGGGGGGAAAACAACAAACGAAACCAAAAAAAAAAAACAAAAAAGCCGCGGCGAAGCCGTAGCCCGAGAGAGCTGAGGCTGCTCGTGAGCATCTTCCGGATGCCCAGGTCCTTCCGTGTCTTCAGAGGGAGTCTTGGGGAATCTTCAGGGAGCCTTGGGGAGTCTTGGGGAGCTTAGTTTTAGGGAGACTTAGGGAGTTTAGGGAGTTTTGTTTAGGGAGTTTAGTTTAGGGAGTCTTAGGGAGCTTAGTCTTCGGGAGTCTTCGGGAGTTTAGGGAGTCTTAGGGGGAGTCTTCGGGAGCCTTGAGGAGTTTAGGGAGTCTTAGCGAGTCCTAGGTCTTAGGGGGTCTTAGGGAATCTTAGGGAGTCTTGGGGAGTCTCAGGGAGTCTTAAAGGAGTTTTCGGTAGTTAAAGGGTTCAGGGAGTTTAGGAAGTTTGGGTTTGGGAGTAGGGTTGAGGATCCAGGGGTTTGACGGCTTTAGGGAGCTTCGGCGCTTGGGTGGGGGGCTTTCACTGTAGCATTGGACCATGTAGAGTTTAGCTCAAGGTTTGAGAGTTTTGGGGGCCTTTTGCATCCTTTTGCTCGGAAGTTTAGGCCCCCGGTCTGAGGATGCAGGGTCTGGCTGCTTAGGGTTTACTACCATTTGCGTAAGAACCCCCCAAAAGCAAAGAATAATAATCCCTAGATTACCCTTTTGAGGAAGAATATTTTTTATATTTTTTGGGGTTCTTAAGCAAATAGTAGTTTAGGGCTTAAATTTTAGGGTTTCGGATCTCGGGTGTAGGGTGTATACAGGGTGTAGAAGGTTCAAGGGCCGCCTCTCCTGCCAGGGCTCCCATGTTGTGGCCCTTCAGCGGCTCATTGCCGTCTCGGCCCTGCGCGGGCGCTCAGGGGGGCCTTCGGTTTTTAGGGTTCAGGGTTTAGGGCTTAGGGTTTAGGGTTTAGGGTTTAGGGGGCACACCTCGAGCGTCGAAGGCTGTAGAGGAGCCTATAGGGTTCTAGATCTGGGGGTTTACGATATTGGGTGTACCTTACTGGGTCCTTATGGGATCGTACTCTTTGGGGGTCTATATCAAAGGTCCCAAAATGTCGCAAACCCCCATTTGAGGAAGAGGATGGCTTCCTGGGTCGGGGGTTTAGCCTTCCGGGACCCACATGAAGCGCCTCCTCCGCCTTGCCTTGAAGAAGAGCCCTTGTGTAGCTGAGGCCCGAGCAGTCCACGGAGATGTGGAGCGCAGGCGCCAGAACTCCCTAAGCCCTAAACCCTAAACCCTAAACCCTAAACCCTAAACCCTAAACCCTAAACCCTCGTAGGGAAGCCGCTTTTCAAGCGGAAGGGTCGGGTGGGACGAGGGACCCTAAACCCTAAACCCTAAACCCTAAACCCTAAACCCTAAACCCTAAACCCTAAAACCTAAACCCTAAACCCTAAACCCTAAACCCTAAACCCTAAACCCGAAACCCGAAACCCTAAACCCTAGCCTCAGAACACTGAGTCCCTCACAAGCCTGAGCCCCCGTCGATCTCTGGTATGGGCTTGTGGCTGCTTTCTAGTATCGTTTATTCCTCAGAGTTTCGGGTACCGAAACGAACGCCCCCACTTGAAACTTGAACCCTAAACCCTTAACACCCCTCAAGCCCCAAAACCCTTTATGAAACCCCTCAAGCTCTAAAAACCCCCTAACACCCCGACAGCCCCCTATAGCTCCAAACCCTGCTGGCAGCTGTTCGAGGCAGGTCCTGGCTGGACGTCCTTGCCTCCGCCAGGCCTGACGTACAGGTTTAGGGTTTAGGGTTTAGGGCTTAGGGTTTTGCGTTCAGGGTTTAGGGTTGAAGGCTAGGGTTTTAGACCCCAAAACCTCAGCAAGCCCCGAGCGCGCAAGGGGGGCCGTCGCCAGCGTGGCGCGCGAAGACGCAGGCACGCCTCAATTCGGGCGGGATATGGACTACCCAATCCCTAATTCCCTACTCAGAACCAGCAAGGACGTAGAAGTCCGACGCTGGCGATTGGGCTCGGGGACTGTTTCTGAACCCTTTTGGCAAAGAGCTCCCTCCCCCCCCCCAGAGTTCGGATCCCGTTGACTGAGAGATGTTCGGGGGTTCTCCGGTGTTGGGTTGCGGTTGAGTGCTCCGGGAGGGTGCCTGAGGAGTGAGGAGGGTATCGCGAACTGCTCATGATAAAACATGGTAACCATAAGGCAGGCGAAAAACAAACATCATACCAGCAGTCAGAACTTTGATCATCACCACACTCATCGACGAAAAGTCCCATCGCCAGTCCCTAAACCCTAAACCCGAAATTCTAAACCCTAAGCCCTAAACCCACGACCCTAGACCCAAGACCCTAAACCCTAAACCCCAAACCCCAAACCCTAAACCCGAAACCCTAAACCCTAAACCCTAAACCCTAAACCCCAAACCCCAAACCCCAAACCCTAAACCCTAAACCCTAAACCCTAAACCCTAAACCCTAAACCCTAAACCCTAAACCCTCTTTCTGCCATCACCCTGGTACGCAGGTGCGCTGCCGCAGCAGTGGCTTCACGTCATCGAGGCCTTCCTCCTTCCAAACCCTCGGATTTAGGGCTTCGGGTTGAGGTTTAGGGTTTAGGGCTTGGGGCTTTTGGGGTTTGGGGTTTAGGGTTTAGGGCTTTTAGCCCTAAACCCTAATCCCTAAACCCTAAACCCTAAACCCTAAGCCCTAAACCCTAAACCCTAAACCCCAAGCCCTAAACTCTAAAGCCCTAAACCCATCCAACCTGAAGGCGCTCTGGGCCCTCACCTCTTCGACGATGCACTGGCAGGTGGCTGCTTGTTCTTGAACCCTAAACCCTATAGGGTTTTTAGGGTTTAGGGTTTAGGCTTTCGGCTTTCGGGTTTAGGGTTTAGGGTTCAGGGACCCCAAGGCTCCAGATACTTTGCGTTTAGAACAAGTTTCACTTCTGAACAAATGCATCGCTTCCGCTTCATCGCTTTGACACCCTAGAGGTTTCCCTTTGCAGGAAGTACGTGCGACTCCAGATGTCGAACATCCTAGACCCTTTTTGAACACGGAACTGTGGAACCTAGAGCCGTCAGTGAACTATACCTTGCATAGTAGTACGCGGAATGTATATGTCTATGGGGTTTAGGGTTTCGGGATGTTTCGGGTGTTGGGTCCCAGAAAACTTCCACTGAGTTAAGAGCTGCTCTAGTACGGCCCCAGAATGGCAACCCCAAGACGCGTGTGAAGTTACCCTTAACCTGATGCCTCTTCAGACCGCCTTTCATGCTTTGCTTGGCCGGCGTCTTGACATAGGCCTGCCAGGAGCTTAGTATCTGACTCTTGAGTCTCCAAAACATGTCAAGGAAGCCCTCACTGCAAGAGCTCTCCCCAAAACCCCAAAACCCAGAAACCCAAAAACCCAAAACCCCAAACCCCAAAACCCTGAACCCCAAACCCCAAGCCTACAAGTTGAAGTTCTGACCTGGCGCCTAAACCCACAGTTCTCAAACCCTACTACTCCCTAAGGCTCCCCCTAAACCCTAAACCCTAAACCCCAAACCCTAAACCCTAAACCCTAAACCCTAAACCCTAAACCCTGAACCCTGAACCCTGAACCCTGAACCCTGAACCCTAAATCCCCCTCCCTTAAGAACCCTATAAAGCCTTCCGGCCAGGATAGGCGCTGCCAGTGTCCAGGAGGCAGCGCCGTGGCAGCTCAGTGTGCTCGGGGCCCAGCTGCTGAGAAACCCAAGACCCTAAACCCAAGACCTTAAGCCCTAAGCCCTAAACCCTAAACCCTAAACCCTAAACCCTAAACCCTAAACCCTCTTTTCAGTATAGTATTTAAACCTTGTAGTACTCGTGGGCAATGGCGGGCAATGGTCAAACTCGTGGGCAATGGTCATTTCTTCGTGGGCAATGGTCTTACTTTCAATCCTGGATCCCCTTGCTCCTTAGAACCCTCCCAAACACACATAGACCCTCTACTTCTAAGTACAATGCGTTTTGGGGCACCTTTAAGGTTGGGAAGGGGACTGGGTGCCCCAAACCCTAAATTCGAAACCCTCCGCAACACCCTCCGGAGGCGGCGCTGACGTCGTTGATGCTGCTCTTGCGGGGTCAAGGGAAGGCCACGGGACGCAGCGTGCACTTGGTCAGAGGTTTTTGTTTAGGGTTTAGGGCGTACCGGCATGTGGGGATCGGCGTAGGTACTGGGGTCCCACTGAGAAAGAGGAACCCCAACGGGGGTTTGGACCCACAACTTTGATTTCACATCAGGGTTTAGGGTTCAGGGCTTCATGATCAGGGTTATTGGGAGCTCATTGTTTGAGATCTTTAGGTTTTAAGCTGTTGTTTGCTGTGGACCAATGTTTCTGGGGATCTTCATGTTCAAGCCATTGACCAGTATGACCACTCTTGCAGGTGTCTGCTGTGGGACTTACGGTAGTATGACAAGCTCGGGATTGGGCCGCCGGCCTTGTTTGCACGCCAGACTGTGGGGCTTATTAAACTCAAGGCATGTGAGAAAGTACTGCGTTTTATCTGAAGCAGCCAAACACTGAATCTTCCTTTGATTCGTAGTTCATGGATTTGCTCTCACTAATTAGTTTCGGGCCTTGGGCTTAGTTGTTCTGAAGTTGCCATAGCGTCTTGCTGCTTTCTAGACTTCGAGAACCGTGCCAGCCATGGTGCCACAGCCCCGGCAACCGCAGCAGTTGCCTGCAATGGACCACGACCATCAAAGCAGTGCTCTGAACAGGAGGTCCGTGTCATCCTTGGCTTCATCCATTGATTCGGAACTTCTCAGAGCTGTTCCAATGGAATTGGTCTTAAGAGGCTGTGGGAGACAATGGGAGAATCGGGGCGTGGATGAATACCACCTGAGTCGGTGTGTCAGCATGATTGATGTATTCTTGAGTTACGACTGGGGAACGCGGCGTTGGCTGAAAACAGCCACACTGCTGGTCCATTTCAATAGCGTGCCAGCTGCAGTGGCAAGTTTGCTGACGTGCATGTTGGTATGCCTCCTCGTCTGTCTCAGGCTGTTGGACGGATGGCTTCCTGGCACTCTTGCCGTCCACGGTACTTACTGGCTGGTCTTCGTGTTCTGGCAGGATCTTCGCGGCCTCTGCAAGAAGAACATGGTCTTTCTTGATCGGCTCTGCATTGCGCAGCACGATTCGGAGTTGAAGAAGCATGGGATTATGTCCCTGGGTGGCTTCCTCTCCAAGTCGCGCGAGCTGCTCGTCTTGTGGAGCCCGCGATATTTCACCCGTCTGTGGACGGCCTTCGAGTTGTCGGTTTGAGAGAAGGTGAGGAGAAAGAGGCGGACATCGATTTTGCTCCAGCAAGCATGGGCCCGCTGCTCCTGTACTTTTCAGTTTTTGAAACGCTGTTAGTCGCCAGCTTCCACATTCTTGTGGCTCGGTATGTGGAGTCTGTGCTGCAGAAGCAAAGAATATATTTGAAGAATGAAGAGGACAAGAACAGCCTGTGGAATTTCACAATTGCCATGCTCGTCATTTGTGCGCCAGCATTTCTTGTGATTGCACCCATCGTCCTGTACCTTGGCACGATGCAGATGAAGGCTTTGCTGCAGCTGAGAAAGCAGGTGGATGAGTTTAAGATTCGAGAATCTCAGTGCAGCTGCTGTCAGATGGACCATTGCCACCCTGACACTGGTGAAGAGCTGCTGTGTGACCGGATGCTGGTCTTCGAAACTTTGAAACGATGGTATCCGCTCGAGATTTCTTCGGAAGCTTGTCTGGACAGATTTGACGAGGCGGTTCACAGAGAGCTGGGCGGCTATGTACGGAACAGGCTAGGCGCCGGCGCCCCACCCTTACGGCACGTAGTTGCCATCACCGTGCATCCTTTACTTGGCTTCCTCTGCATGTACGTCTACCTGGCTGTGAACGCCCACCTGTTTCCCTGGTCCGCCCTTGGCTGGATGATCGGATGGTTCCAGGCACCACCCATGGTGTACCTGGCACTCTGGGAGTTCTTACAGACTTGGAGGATGGGTGTGCGATTTGGGGATCGGTGCCCTTTGTGGCTTGTTTTGCTGCTTGGGGAGGCCGCCGGCATCAGCTTCAATGTTGCCATCTGGTTGCAGTACAATGCCTTCAAGTATACGTTTGGACATGACGTAAATTGGCCTGTCCTCGGCTCGCTGGCTTTCATGTGGATCACCTTCATCCTCCCATACATGTGCGAGTATTCGCCGAAGCTTCTCGGCAGAAATTAGCGCAGGCCTGTACAGCTCCCCTCCTCCCCCCTAAGAGGGATGCCTTGAGGTGTGCCTGGGCTAGAGCAATTGTTTTGAAGCACGCGCTTCGAGGCATAACCGTCTCAGCAGATCCTGGTTTCACAGCAGCAGCAGTGGTTTAAGCTCAGAGTACCTAAACCCTAAACCCTAAACCCTAAACCCTAAACCCTAAACCCTAAACCCTAAACCCTAAACCCTAAACCCTAAACCCTAAACCCTAAACCCTAAAGTAGCATGCCAGCCCATAAGCCTGCGCGAATAGAAGAAAGTGAGGAGTGGGGCCAAGGTGGGGCACCCCTGTTACCCTCCACCCCAAAGGCCCAACCATTAAGCCCCAAACCCGAAACCCCCAAGCCCTAAGCCCGAAGCCCATATCTTGAACCCTAAACCCTAAACCCTAAACCCTAAACCCTAAACCCTAAACCCTAAACCCTAAACCCTAAACCCTAAACCCTAAACCCTAAACCCTAAACCCTAAACCCTAACCCTAAACCCTAAACCCTAAACCCTAAACCCAAACCCTCAACCGGCACTTGGAAGTAGCTTCTCGGGTGGAAGTGGCTTCAGGCTTTGGGTTCGGAGAAGACTCCGAGGGACTGAACGGCCGCCTCTTGCAACAGACACGGGTCCTGAGCCCTATGCCCCAACTATTTTAGGGTTAAGGCCCCAAACCCTAATCCCCGAGCCCTTAACCTTAAACCCGAAACCCTAAACCCTAAACCCTAAAGCCTAAACCCCAACAGCACTTGTCCCTGATGAGGGCCAGGCCGGCAGCTCAAAGTTGCGCCCGGCGGCGCCAGATGCGGCAGAGGCCCCGGAAGACCCCTCCCCGGGCCCCCTACGGCTGTTCTGAAAGCCTGGTGTGTATTTGCTGGGGGGTTCAGGGCTCAGTGTTCAAGTCACAAAAGTCACAAAACCCTTCATCCCCAACCCTCAAAACCCAAAACCCGAAACCCTAAACCCGAAACCCTACCTGCGCACCAGAAAGATGAAGAAGCAGCCAGGAGCCTTGGCTCCGCTGGCCGGCATTTCGCTCAGGCCTGCTGCAGCTGCGGGTGGTCAGTCAGGCCGCTCAGCCGGCACAGTCTGAGCGCCGGGTTTTCGTGCGCCATTCCTGTTTGGCTACTTGGGGGTTTGCGATCATGAGGGACCCTGAATCTGCCTGACCCCCAAATCGCAGGATTCCCTTAGGATAAGGACCTTCAGATATAGACCAGACCCCACAGAGTAGGATCCCCTTAACATAAGGACCCCCAACAAGGTGTACACCGTGTACACCCCCCAACATCGTACCCCCCCCCCCCCCCCTACTGCGACCTGTGCTGAGGCGAGCTACTTGTACAGGTGGCTCGGAGAACCGGATCTTGCTGAAGCCTGCTCTCAGTGCGGATTGCAGCCCCTTGGCCTGCTGAAGGGCTAAGGCCCCACCAGGGTGGGTTTGGCGGGGCACCACCCAGCTGTTCTTGCTGCGCATAAGCCCTAACCCTAAGCCCTAGACCCTAAACCCTAAACCCGAAACCCGAAACCCGAAACCCTAAACCCTAAACCCTAAGGCTGATATCACAAAGACTTTGCGGAGACACTCGCTGGAAGCTGCGGTTCCTTTGCGATCGCGCAAGGCGCGGCGTCCTCAAGCAAACCGGCAGATCAACTCATTTGCACCATGCCCCTGAATAGGGTTGTGAGTTTAGGTTTAGGGTTTAGGGTTTCGGGTGAGCTTCCGCGGCAGCAGGTCTGCAATGGCTGAATCGCCACGCCTGGGCGAGATGGCACGGTGCAAGGCCGGCCGCGACATCTTGGAGGGGGGGACTGTGGCATGAATTGTTGCGGGACCCCCACTACTTCTCGAGTTGGTTCCTTTCAACCCCAAACCCTAAACCCTAAACCCTAAACCCTAGACCCTAAACCCTAAACTGAAAACCCTAAACCCCAAAACCGAAAACCCTAAACCCGAAACGCGCCAGGACACAAAGGCTGGCCATGAAGCGGAGACGCTGCTTGAGGAGATCGACCTCTTGTGGAACGAGAGGAGCGCTACCCTAAACCCTGGGACCCTGAGTAGCCTTGGGATATTTTGGGTTTAGGGTTCAGGGTATAGGGTTTAGGGTTTAGGGTTCAGGGTTTAGGGTTTAGGGTTCAGGGTTTAGGGTATATTTAGGTTGGGATGTTCCCCTTTATACTAACAGTCCTTAGTAAGGATTTTCGTCCCCCCCCCTATTATCATCCCTATTAAGGAGCTGTTTGTATAAGGGGGGAACATCCCAACGCACGACAAGCAAACCGGGAGTTGAAGCTCCGGGAGGTCAAATCTCGCAACCTGCACAGGAGGCTGAATGCCTGGGAAGGTCATTCCGGTTTCTTTTTTTGAGCACTTGTAGCCCCCACAAAAAGGGTCGGGTTTGGGGTTCCCCCAAAAAAGGGGGGATGAAGTGTAAGATCAATGGCCAAATCTGAAAAGCCCTGACAATGGGCATCCTGATTCCCCCTCAACCCTCAACCCCCGAGTCTCAAAATCCTCTCAGCCTGCAAAATAGACCCACGCAGCCCCCCAAATCCCAAACGCGAACAACCCTCCAGGCACAAAGGACACAGCCTCGCAACCCCAAACCCCAAGCCCTATAGGCCCTGAGTCCTGCATGACCCCCCGAGACAACCGAGCCCCAAACAAGACCCAAGCGCGTTGCAGGACGGGCGCCGGCGAGGTTGGGAGGGGTCATTTTGGGCTTTTGGGGGCCTCAGGTTGAGGGGTTGTACTGGTTCTGGGTTTAGTTGGGGTTCATTTAGGGCGTTTGGGCTTCGGGGACCCCCGAACACGAAGCATAAAACCCAAAAGGCCGAAAAGACCCTAGACCCGGAATCCAGAAACCCTAAACCCTAAACCCTAAACCCTATACCCTAAACCCTGAACCCAACGTGCACCCCCCAAAAATCCAATTAGACCCTGGCCTTTAGGTTATCAGGGCACGTGCGCTGACAAAACCTTCCCAAACGCCGCCCTTAATAAGGCAAGCAGATATGCCTAAACCTTGAATCCTAAACCCGAAGCCATAAACCCTAAACCCTAAACCCAAACCCTAAACCCTAAACCCTAAACCAGTGTCCTGTTGATGGCCAAGAGCTTTTTGGGGGAGGTTTTGTATTTAAGGGGAGAGCACCCTAAGACCCAAAGCCCAGAAGGCTTTTTCCAAGGGTACCCGTAAACCCTTCAACAAGCCCCAAAACCATATCTTGAGCGCCTAGAGCTCTTGAACCCTAAAACCCCAAGACCCTTGAACCCTTACCCTGAGACCGTAAACCCTTGGACCCTTAGACCCTCAAACACACCCCAAGCCCCTAAACCCTAAACCCTAAACCCTAAACCCTAAACCCTAAACCCTAAACCCTAAACCCTAAACCCTAAACCCTAAACCCTAAACCCTAAACCCTAAACCCTAAACCCTAAACCCTAAACCCTAAACCCTAAACCCTAAACCCTAAACCCTAAACCCTAAACCCTAAACCCTAAACCCTAAACCCTAAACCCTAAACCCTAAACCCTAACCCCTAAACCCTAAACCCTCAACCCCAAACCTAAAAACTCTTGCGAGGCCACTCCGCCCTGGGAGCTCCTGGTGCCTGGGCTCTGAGGGAAGGGGGGGTGTGTGGGGCCTCGTTGAGGGTTCAAGGGGTTAGGGGTTTAGGGGTTTAGGGGTTTAGGGTTTGGGGTTTGGGGTTTGGGGTTTAGGGTTTCGGGCCAGGGTTTGGGGTTTGGGGTTTAGGGTTTAGAAAGCCTGGTTATAACTAAGAAGTGCCTTGACCACGATTGTGAGCCCGGTTAAACCTGGGAGAAGAAGAAGCGCAAAGTAGGGTAGAAGTATGTCAGCCCGCCAAAGAAGAAGAATGTAGCATCTATCACAGGAACGGCTGCAAGAGCCCAACGACCATAGCGATAACGCTCCTGATTGCCTTGTGATTGCCATCTTGTCTGGTTTCTGAGAGACTTGTTTTTTTTGTCTGAAGGGGGCGTCGTTTGGTTTCAGACATGTAGTGGGCCTTTAGACATATCGAGATGGACGAATCAGCATGACGACGTGCTGTTTAGAATTGCCACCCACCGACAAAAAGTTTGAGTGCCCTGTTTTACCATGAACCTCCAAGTGGTGTCTCACGACGAGCATTCAGGCAGGCCGGCGAGCTTTGCGTTCGTTTGCGCATTCTGCATTCCGGTACGCCTGTGCCGGTACTTTCTCAAGCCCAGCCTACAAAACCCCCGGAGCCTTCAACCCTCAAGACTCTCCCGCAATCCCGAAAAAAGAAGCCCGCGCCCCCCAACCTCTAATTCCATCGGACAGGAGTTGTGGGCAGAGGCCGCCCCTGGCTTTGGGGGGGGGGGGTCTTCCTTTCAAGAGCCTTGTGGAAATGTGGCCATGTTCGGAGTGTTTAAGGGTTTAGGGTTTTCGGCGGTGTGGGGATTCAGGGTATAGGGTTTGGGGTTTAGGGTTTAGGGGTAGCACAGGAGCATGTTTGGGGTTTGGGTTCTTGGCGGGTTTCAGCAAACTTTGGGGCCCTATGCCCTCAACCCCCCGAGTCCAGGGTCCCCAACGCTTCTTGTATTGGGCCTTTTGGGCGATCAGGGTGTGCGCCTCAAGGGCAAGGGAAGAACCACCTTTGGGAGAATATGGTGTTTTAGGGTCTGGGGTTTCGAGAAACCCGAAACCCGAAACCCAAAACCCCCAAGGCCCCAAAAACCCTGAGGCTGGGCAGGGAGGCCAGCTAGAGCCCGAAACCCTAGACCCTAGACCCGAGACCCTCGACCCTAAACCCTAAACCCTAAACCCTAAACCCTAAACCCTAAACCCTAAACCCTAAACCCTCAACCCTCAACCCTCAACCCTCAACCCTCAAGGCTGGGCAGGGAGGCCAGGGAGAGCCCGGCTTCCCGGTGCTCGCTCGCTCGTGGAAGCTTCGCCTCAAAGCCGCAGCCCTTCATCGCCGGAGACTGGGCTTTCTTGGGGTTTAGGGTGGTTTGGGGTTTAGGGTTTGGGGTTTAGGGCTTGGGGTTTGGGGTTTAGGGTTTGGGGTTTAGGGTTTGGGGTTTAGGGCTTATGGCATAAGTTTGGGGGGGGGGTTTAGGGCTTTCCTGTTAAGGCAGGGTTTAGGTCCCAGTCAGCAGCCCATCAGTCTGATCCCTCAGCTGTCGATCCTAGACCCGAAGCCCGAAACCCGAAACCCGAAACCCGAAACCCTAAACCCTAAACCCACAACCCTAAACCCTAAACCCTAAACCCCCCCCCCCCCCCTAAAAGCCCTTGAAGCGGCCCAGGACATCTCCGGCTTCCTGGTCCGCCCACCTCCGGGGCCTCCTCGCGTGGATGCGCGAGAGGCCGCTGCCGCTGGGGCACTTGCTGCTGATGGTGGCGCAGGCCCCCCATCTAAGCCCTAGACCCGAAACCCTAGACCCTAAACCTCTTCTACGTATGCATTATAATAGGGATTCCAAAAAGGACCATAATTCTGACAATTAGGTGGGTTTAGGTAGGCTACAGCAGTGGGCATGTTACCCTGATCAAAGATGTGTATGTTCAATATACGTATGGTATCTGGTATGATATGTACTGTTAAAAATTGTTAGGAAGTACCTACCGTTTTTTGGGGGCTTTGGTCTTGGGGCTTAGGGTCACTAGCATGGGGAGTTGTCGTAAAAGAACATAGTGCCAATAATCAGGGCAAACTTAGTTCAAGGTGGCCTTCACAGCAACCCAGGCCTTCTTTGAGGACGCAATGGGGAGTGATCAGCAAGAGCCTTGTGGCGATGATCCCTCGGCTCCGGAGCTTCTGGCAGCCCTGCAAGCCTGTGCGCGGGACATTGCCCGAAGCGAGAGACGGCCGGCACTGCAACCTCACCAGGAGCAGGCTGTTCTTGCTGCTGCCGAGGCAGGATGGGGGATGCGTGTGCAAGCGCACCGACCAGCACTCCCAAAAGAAACCCTGAAACCCGCTGAAGGATGGCTCGTCCAGTTCGGCCAAGCTTGTGGCGGTCCTACACCTAGCTGCAGGAGCCGTTCGAGGCAATGCCGCAGAGGGCTGCCAAGTGCAGGGCGTAGCAGTGCCGTAGCTCTTTGGGCATGGATGTCTGCTGAGTTTCGTGTGCTCTATCTCCATCAGATGCTCTCGCGGCGGGCGACAGCGCGGCCCTGCGGTCTTCAGCGCAGCTTCTCCTCAGGGCAGCTGAGGTGGCTCTGTCTTCTTTGTCACCTCGTGTTTAATTTGCCATGCCGTGGCCATGCCATGGCCATGCTGCGCCCATGCCATGTGCACACGTCAGGCTTGCAAGAGCCGGGCGGATGCTTCGAGATCGGAGGAGGTACTCCTAAACCCTAAAAAACCCAAGCCCTCAACCCAGAAACACCCTACACCCTAAACCGCATGAAGCCACTCAAACGTCAACTTTGCCGACAGGTGCGAGGCAGGGACCATGACCGCAGCCGCTCACGCAGCCGCTCACGCAGCCCCTGCCGCATCTCATCGGAGGGCTCGAGCTGTCGCTGGACTCGGGAGTACTGGTCCCTGTGCAAGCAGGCAAGGCTAGATATCCACCAGCGTCCTTTTATTTGTAACTTCGCCTGATGTCTATACATATATATATACACATATATACACACACACACACATGCACATATATACGCACAAACACAATGCTTTTTCGGATAAACCAGCCGTTATAATGGTAGTAGTATGATATCCATTCTAATTCGACAGGCCGATATTCGTAGTCTGGGGCGAGGAGTCTTCTGCGTAACTGAGACTAATGGCCCACAACGTGAGCCATCACCCCCACCAGCGGGGTGCTGAGCCGAGGTAGAATCATAGCCCCGCTCCGATCCTCATGATTCATGCGTGGGCCAGGTTGGGGATCTTATTTCTGTGGTAGCCACCCTACATCCTAAACCATACGCCCAATAACTGTACAAGCATCTAGGGAAACAGGTGCTGTTAGCGCTGGGCGGACCCCCCACACCCAGAAGTTCTCCACCGTGGCTTTGGGCAGGTTGTTCCGCTGTGCTCCGCGGTGTCGCTCCTCTTCCTGACGGAGCTTCGCTCCATGCAGCGGGTGGTCGACGGTCTGGGTGATGCCAGCCTCTTGGACGTACTTGAGTCTGAAACCCTACAGCCCTGGCAGCCTACATGGATTTCCATCTTGGTTTTTGTTCATGTTTGGGTACCCAAAAGAAGCTTCGAATAGGAGCCCCCAAAAACCTGCCCACAACCCTGAAGCTAGTTGTAGCAGTTAAAGCCCTATACCTCTCTGTATAACCTTCATGTCTGCACAGTACGTGTAGCTTCAAAAGTGGAGTGGAATGAAGACCCCAAGCCCCCCCCCCCCCCCCCCCTCCACGAGCGCCTGACACCCTCAAAGGAATGACGTAAGGCTTGTGCAGGGTTAAGGTCGAAGCCCCAATGCCCTCGAACCCTCGAAGGAAAGATCAAAGTCGTAGCAACAAAGCAGTCCCAACGCCCCCAGGAAGTGTCCGAAGGTTACTACGACCCGGAACACCCGAAACCCTCAAAGGAACGATGCCCTAACTTTAGCGTTTACGGAAGCCTCAAACCCTAAACCTCCCCGAAGGAAGCCCTCAGAGGAATGATGCAGCATTTCTTCAGCCAGCCTCATCTGGACCTCAAGCCCGCCACCTCATCGGAGAAGCTCTCGTCGGGCAGATGCTTGCTTGAAGGCTCATGAAGTAGCCAAGAAAAGGACTTGCAGGTAGGTTAAGAACCCTACTTAAGAACTCCCATGAACCTTCAAGCAGTATTGTGGCGAGGTTCACTAAGCTAAGGTCTCTCGTGGGGTTAGTGTTTAGGGTATATGACCAGTTCTGTGCCCCCTCCCCCAGTAGGTACCGAAAACAGGCAGTTTGGGGTATGATCCCCAGAGTATCCTTGAAGAGGGTTTAGGGTTTCAGGCTTAGGGTGATATTACACTTTCCCTTTAGTGTCTTTAGGCTTTAGTGGAGCATCACCTTGGCAGTTCCTTAGGAAACTTCACAAGTAAGGCTGGCTGGAGGAGGTGGATCCGGGCCTCTCCCTTGCTTGGCTGCAGGCTGGAGCACCACTTTGGGCTGTTTTGGTTATCGATTCTTGAGTCTTCCCTGTCGCTGAGGCTTCAGGGGGTAAGATACCTTCATAGAATCACCCGTCAATCTTGGACCTTACATGCACCAACCCACCCCTAAGCCTCAAACCCTCAACCTCAAACCCTACCAACCTCCCAAACCCCGACCGCCCAAGCTGCAAACCCCAAACCCGAAACCACCCAAGCCCCAAGCCCAACACCCTTGGGCGCCCTAAACCCTAAACCTCAAACCCTAAACCCTAAACCCTGAGCCCAAGCCCTAAACGCTAAACCCTAAACCCTGAACCCTAACCCTAAACCCTAAACTCTAAACCGTGGTGCAGGTGGACTGGACGGTCCCATCACTCCGGGTCACGCGGTCCCTCGATGGCGGCCTCGGGCTGCCCAGCCACGCGCAGTTGGTGTCTCAACAGGTGGGCGGGGGGCAGTTTAGGGTTTAGGGTTTAGGGTTTATATAGGGTTTAGGGTTTAGGGTACCCGAGACCCTGACTCCAAAAACGCCTGAACTCCAAAACAGGTAGTATGGGGCATAAACAGGGTGCTGGGACAGGGCATGATAGGGTGTGAGGGTTCTTCAAGGGGTTAGGATGTAGGGTTCATTGCCAGTTCTCTGAATATAGTGGGCCGTTTCCGGTACCCTGAAAAAAAGGCTCGGTAGTATAACTGGAGCATCCCAAAGGAGGGCCCTAAACCGCAAATTAAGCACTCCCAAACCCTAACCCTTCAGGGTTTATCTTGAGGGCTCAAGGTTCAGGGGTTCAGCGAACGAGGGCTCAGCCGCCTTGCCAGGTGAAGCTGCCCCATGGGCTCCTCGCGCGCCTGCAGGAGAGAGGGTTTAGGGTTTGGGGTTTAGGGTTTAGGGTTTGGGGTTTAGGGTTTAGGGTTTAGGGTTTGGGGTTTAGGGTTTAGGATTACGGGGTTTTGGGTTTCAGAGTTTGAGGGGGTTCAGGCTTAGTGCTTGGGTTTCGGGGTTTAGGGTTTGGGGCTTCAGGCTTGGGGGTGATTGTTTGGGTTTAGGGCTTAGGGCTTAGGGTTTAGGGTTTAGGGTTTTGGGGGGTTTAGGGCTTCCTAGGCTGGACGTTCAGGCCTTAGACTCCCTAAGACCCTGTAATGGGATTTTAACAAAGACATGACGAGGAGGGGCTAGGGTTCAGTGTGACATCCCTTTGATCTCTCAAAAGGGCTCAGGGTTCAGAATTGAGCAGCAGAATTCCAAAGTCCCAAAGTCCGCCAGTTCCGAACACGATGCTCCCGGGCTCCAGCCGAACATTGCGGCTACCCCTCGGGAAGTCAGGGTCCCGAAGCCCCAATCCCCCAAACGCTAAAAAGCCCCAAGCCCTAAAGAGCCCCTAAACCTCAAGGCCCTACACCCTAAACCCTAAACCCTAAACCCTAAACCCTAAACCCTAAACCCTAAACCCTAAACCCTAAACCCTAAACCCTAAACCCTAAACCCTAAGCCCTAGACCCTAGACCCTAGAACCCTAAAACCCTAAACCCTAGAACCCTAAACCCTAAACCCTACACCCCAAACCCTAAACCCCAAAACCCTGAACCCTAGAACCCTAAACCCCAAACCCCAGAACCACAAAACCCCAAACCCCAAACCTTGCAGGAGGAGCTCCGCAGCCTCCATGCCCTCAACGGGCAGAAAATCCGGGAGCTCTGGCAGCGGGCCGACAAAGGTACCGAGGCCCACGGGGCTAGGGTTTAGGGTTTAGGGTTTAGGGTTTAGGGTTTAGGGTTTAGGGCTTAGGGTTTAGGGTTTTCCCCCTTACGAATTAATATATTCATTTGAGTTCATATTCAACATATGTGTTTTATTCAGGTTCTAAGGGGAGTGTAGGTTTAGGGTTCAGGGGCTTCTAGAGTTTCGAGGTTTAGGGTTCAGTGTCGAGGGGCTTCGAGGGTTCAGGGGGTTCTAGGGCTTCTAGGGTTTAGGGGGCTTCTAGGGTTCAGCGCTGAGGTGATAGGCATTCGATGTTTCTGGGGGCAGTATGGTTCTAGCGTTGCGAGAGGGTGCAGAGGGCTATTTAGGGCTTTGGGTTTACGCCAGGCCTTACAGCTTAGGCACGAGGGAGTCCATGGACCTAGGTCCACCTTGCAGCCAAGATGCCCAGGCCTCCAATCTGCAGGAAGTCTTCGCATGAGTCCTCAAGGCTGCCTCTCACCCCACCTTCCCCTGCAAGCTCGTAGACCCCAAGGCTCTGAACGCAAAGCCGCGAAGCTCTTTCCCTCGAGGCCGTGCGACGTGAGTTCTGGAGCAGCCGGAAGCGCTTCGATGCGGAGCTGGGGCGCCTGGCGGAGAAGGTGGAGCAGGCGTCGGTGTGGAGAGTTCACGGCCTGAGGATTGATGTGCGCGTTGAGGATGGTGATGGTTGGTGATGATGGTAATGGATGATGATGCTGATGCTGATGCTGATGCTGATGCTGATGCTGCTGATGATGATGATCATCATCATCACGCTTGGTGGCATTGCCTATACAGCTGCCTGCCTATGTATCTGTGAATCTGTTGTGTGGAGTACCGTTGTTATCTCCCTGCTTGTACATCAAGCGACCTATCGTTCCACCTGGCCATCGGCATCGACCAACCCATCCTTCGACCCAATCCATCGTTCTGTCCACGGTTTAGGTTTTAGTGCTTATGGCTTAGGGCTTAGGGGAAAGGGTTTAGGGTTTAGGGTCTAGGGTTCCAAGCACCTGTGTCTACCTGCCCATCTGCCACACCCGTCGATCAACCTTTCCAATCCGTCCATTCACCCATCCCAGAAACACACGAACTGCCAGCGATCCATCGCAATCTTTCGTGGTTCGACCGATCGAACCCAACTCGCAAACCCTCTCGCCATGACGGCTGCTTCGCGTGTTGGCTTTCCGAAATCGGGGTGCGAACCGTCGTTAAAGCAGTTCGGGTGTTCGGGAGGTTGAACAATGTGCGAAGAGAGTTCGGAGCATTGTCACGATTGGCAACGAGCTCCAAAGTACACACGCCTTTCTCAGCATCGCTTGGTATCCACCGCTCAGTCGCATGCTCGCTTTCCCGAAGCACTAAACCCTGCACCCTAAACCCTAACCCCCAAGCCCCTGAACCCTACACCCTCCCCTCAACGCCTAAACCCCCAAGCCCCTAAACCCTGAACCCTAAACCCTAAACCTTCAAACCTGAACCCTAAACCCTAAACCCTAAACCCTAAACCCTAAACCCTAAACCCTAAACCCTAAACCCTAAACCCTAAACCCTACACCCCCAAAAGCCCTAAGCCCTAAACTCCCTAAGACCCTCAGAGCCTGCAGGAGATGCTTGGGCCATGGCGGTTCTTGCTGGCCCCGTGGCCACAGGCGGACCAGGCGCGGGAGGTGCTGCTGGCCAGCCTGGATGCGTGGATCGAGGAGAGTTTGGGGTTTAGGGTTTGGGGTTTTGGGTTTAGGGTTTGGGGTTTGGGGTTGAGGGTTTTGGGTTTTGGGTTTCGGGGTTTAGGGTTTGGGGTTTAGGATTTGAGGCTTTTGGTTTGGGGTTTAAGGTTTAGACCCCAAAGCCCCAAAACCCCAAAACCCCAAACCCTAGACCTTAAATCCTAAAACCCTCACATTCCAAGAAAAAAGGCTTTGGCGGCTTGGGAGGGGTGTCCTACCTGGCCACCCTCAAAACTCCCCCAACCCCTCAAGTTATGAAGGGTTTGGGGTTTTTGAGTTATGGGTTTTTGGGTTTTTGGGGGTTTGGGGTTTGGGAGTTTGGGGATTTGGGGTTTTTGGGGTTCAGGGTGTCGAGGGTGTGGGGCTTACTTCAACCGAAAGGTGTGAAGTCCAAAACCCCGAAGCACACAACCCAAACAGGAGAACCCCCCCCCTCCCCCCCAACATCTTGTCCCCCATGTAGTAGTTCCTTGGAGGAGTCGGCCTCCGCCAGCCAACGCACGCTGCGGGGGTCGCAGCCTGTGCGCCCGGAGGCTGGAGGGGGGCGTGATCAGGGATTGTGGGGATTTCGGGTTCGGTAAGGTTTTGAGGATCTTGAGGGCTTTAGGGGCTTCGATGGGGTTTTGAGGGTCTTCGAGTTTCCACCCCCTCCAAACCCCGAACCCAAACCCCGAAAAGTTCAGCGAAGCTCCCCCAAACCCTAAACCCCAAACCCCAAACCCCAAACCCCGAACCCTAAATCCTAAACCCTAAACCCTAAGCCCTAAACCCTAAACCCTAAACCCCGAACCCCGAACCCTAAACCCCAACAAGCCCTGAAGCCCTGAAGTCTTCCATCGGCTTCGTGGGGTTGGCCTCGCCTCAGGGCTCATTAAGGAGTGGTCGTATACGGGGGAACGTCCCAAGGTTAGGGATTCAGGCTTTTTGGGTTCTAGGGTTGTTTCATGCGCAATGCTGGCAGAGGGCGCCCAACAGCGCTTCCTTCTGGTGGCCTCGGCATTTCAAGGGACGGGGAAGCGAGGTTCAGGCCTTTGAGGGGCTCTTGTGAAGGCCTTTCAGTCCGACGGATTGAAGTGCAAAGTTGTCATCGTCAAGTCGAGACCCCACACCCTACACCCTACACCCTACACCCTACACCCTACACCGTACACCCTACACCCTACACCCTACACCCTACACCCTACACCCTACACCCTACACCCTAAACCCTAAACCCTAAAGCCTCAAGTGCTGCTTGTAAAGGTTTAGGGGCTTCGGCTTTATACGGTCTAGGCCTTCCTCGGTCGTCCTGAGCCTCCGGGGACTAAAGTCTAGGGCCGGGGCTTGGCGCAGTTTCCCAAAATACTTCGCTGGGAAATGCCCCTCATGTTCCACGCCTCATATGATTTCTTCCTTATATATATATATATATGTATATTTACATAGTATGATATATGATATATGATATATATATATATATATATACGTATACACATATAAATGTATGTGTATATTGTTTGCATGTATAAACAGAAGAAAGTAAATACAAATAAAAAGAGAGCGAGCGATTCTGTTTCGCCCCTAAGGCGCTGCTGTTCCTGGAAGCAGACAAGCTCGAGGCCCTCCGACCCCCAAGACCCAACACCTAAAACGAACGGCTCCGCCAGATTTCGCGCGCGGGTTTTGGGAAACCCTGGTCCGAAGCCCTAACCCTAAACCCTAAACCCTAAACCCTAAACCCTAAACCCTAAACCCTAAACCCTGAACCCTAAACCTCAAAGAGCCTTAAGCCCCCTTTGGAGCCCACTGTGACGCAGGCGGGTGAGATAGCCACCGTGCTGGAGGCCGGGGGGGTCTAAGGGTAGTTTCATGGAAACCCTAAACCCTAAACCCTCAACCCTCAACCCTAAACCCAAAACCCTAAACCTTCATTTGGGTCCCTTACCTGATGTATGGGCCCTTAATTTGTGTAGGGTCTATTAGGGGCTTCTAAGGGGGTCCCCTGTTAAAGGCCCCTCAAGGGCTAAGGGACCATGTCACTCCCCTAAGGGGGGTCCTTAGCGAAGCACAAGATCCTACAAGCTGGGAGCCTTTTCTTTGAGAATGCCAGCTTCTGAAGACGAGAAATAGGTGTATATATATATATATAGACATATATATATACATATATATATATATATATATAAAACACACCCTATAAACCCCCCACACACACCCTGTAAACCCTACAAACCCTATAAAACCCTGCAAAACACATTAAGCCCATACGCCCTAGACCCTCAGTCCTGAGCAAGAGGAGTTCTGGCCCGGCGACAGCTCCCGCCTACGGCGCACGGCCTCCTCGCTGAAGAGGCTGGAGCCTGTTAGGCGTCAACAGGGCAGTTCTCAACACTTTTGGCTTGTTTATGGTTAGTTTAGGTTTTAGGGTTAAGGATTTAGGGTTTAATTTTTAAGGTCTTAAAATTCAATAAGGGAGTTCTCAAAACTGTGTGGCCCCTTTACGTGAAGGTTCATGTGCAGCTAGAAGTAGGGTTGTAAGCAAAGGAAACCTGTGTTACAACCTTAAACAAGGCATTTACAACCCTACTTCTAACTACTATTTGCTTAAGAACCCCCACAAAAAAGAACAAAGCAAGAATCCCTTGTTACCCTTATAGGGAAGAGAGTTTTATATATTTTTCAATTTTTTTGGGGTTCTTAAGAACCACACAAAAAGAAAAAGAGAAAACCAAATAAACCTTACTGCCCTTATAGGGAAGAATATTATATTATTTCATTTTTTTATTCTTTGGGTGGTTCCTAAGTAAACAGTAGCAACTACCCATGGAACTACCAGGATGGCTACCCTAAGAAGAAAGGCACCGTCTCACAGCAGGTACACGAGAAGGAGGTCGAATCAGGGAGCTAAGCCCAATACACCCTAAGCCCTAAACCCTAAACCCTAAACCCTCAACCCTAAACCCTAAGCCCTAAACCCGAAACCCTCAACCCTCAACCCTAAACCCTCAACCCTAAACCCTACCAAGGAACCCGTAAGTCTTGCCAGGTACCGGTCGGACTTCCGAGCGTCCGTGGACCTGCGCGGGATGGCCCCGGAGGCTTACGAAAGGGCCCGAGGATGCTTGAGTTTTAGGGTTTAGGGTTTAGGGTTAAGGCACGAGTGTAGGGTTTAGGGTTTAGGGTGAGGGGTCTAGGGTTTAGGGTTTAGGGTTTTTCACAGGGATCTGACCTTTTGCACCCAAAATCCTCCAAGCGTGATGAAGCCTCAGGGTTTAGGGTTTAGGGAGACCCTAGGCCCCAAACATCGAGGAAAATATTCGGGGCTGCAGACTCAGGGTGTCAGAGTGCCGGGAGACTTTGCGCACTTTAGGATTTCGGAGTCAGAGGGGTTCAGGATCGGGTTCTCCAGGGCTAACTAGGATCTTCCGGGTCCCTTAGATTTCAACGCACCTATCCGTGCTGAAGACGTTTCCCTGTCTCCTTCGCTTGGCTACGTTCCGTCGGCCTCTTACTCGGCCTGCTTGCTATGTGTGTTTGGTCTTTGATTTCTCACAGTGCCTTCTTTCTACAAGTTGGGACTGCCCAGGATTTCGGCCGGGAGGTGGAGTTTGTTGGGGTGAGTCAAGGAGCAGGGTGCTCTCTCTCTCTCTCTCCTCTCCTTGTTTCTTATTCTGTCAGTATCTCTTTCACCAAATGCAAGCGCACCTCCCTAAATCCTAAACCCTAAACCCTAAACCCTAAACCCTAAACCCTAAACCCTAAACCCTAAACCCTAAACCCTAAACCCTAAACCCTAAACCTAAACCCCAAACCCCAAACCCTAAACCCTAAACCCTAAACCTTGTAGAAGCCCCTGGCTGCCAGGTGCCACTCTTGCTGTACGTGGATGCGACCGTGGCCCAGCTGCCTCTGGAAGCCTGCGCCTGTCTCAGGCAGCCTGGACCGGGGTTGGGGTTTAGGGTTTAGGGTTTAGGGTTTAGGGTTTAGGGTTTAGGGTTTAGGGTTTAGGGTTTGAGGGTTTGAGGGTTTGAGGGTTTGAGGGTTTGAGGGTTTAAGGGTTTAAGGGTTTAAGGGTTCTCAGGGTTGGCTCGGGGATGTTCGTGCCCAGTAGCAACTTCATGATGTACGGAAACCCGAAACCCTCCAGAGTGCCCGCGGAGGGGGGCAGAAAAACAGAAAATACACTAATGCACTGATACACCGATAACCCCGCGCACCCTCGCGTTCGTATCGGCGTGTCGGCGTATCGGCGTATCGGTGTGCCGGCGTATTTTCTGTATCGGTGTATCTGTGGGGGGGGGGGAAGAGGTAAGGAGATACACCGATGCACCAATACACAGATACATATCCATACACCGAGGGGACAGGCGGGGTTGGGGGAGGTGGATATCGGCATATCGGGACAAGGGCGATTCACGGATACCCCGACACATCCAAGCACAACCAGCGGGGATACTGGCGTATCGGCGTATCAGCGTAAGGGCAATGCACCGATATTCCCCGACCCAGGGGGGTCTAGCAATGCACCGATGCACGGACTCAGGGGAGTCCTGGGGGAGGGCGTGGTCGACGCATGCTTGTGGCAATCAAGGCCCAGTAATTTCTAGGCCTGGTTCGGCTTTTACGCCAAGGGGGGTACCGGAATGTTTCATTCAAGGCTTGTGCTCAGGAATAGAGCACAAGGGTTTCTGCATGTTCTGGAGCATTTGCTCGCACGCATGCACGACAACAGCAAATCTGGGTAGCAAATATACTCTTTGCGGACCCTAAACCCCAAGCAGGCCCAGACAAAGCTAGGCCTCCTTTGCTTTCGGTGTGGGGGGTTGGCCTGTCGACGCAGAAGAAAAGAGGGGCGGGAGGAGGGGCGAGGGAGGGGTTGAGGGGGATGTCAACATATCGGCGTGTCGGTGTTAGGAGGGGGGGATATCGGTGTATCGGCGTTTCGGGGAGGGTAGAGGGCAGCCCGAGGAGGAGACATTGGCGAATCGGCGTATTGGCGCATTCGCGGTTGTGGGAATATCGGCGTATCAGTGTGTCTGCGTAGCGGCGTCTCGGCGAGGACAGGGGCGACGGAATGTCGGCATAGCGTATCGGCTGAATTATTAGCTTATCGGCGTATGGGCGTCCCGGGGAGGGCGGGGGGGGGGGGGAATCGTATCGGCGTATCGTCGTATGGGCGTATGGGAATGGGATTCAGGGGGGTATCGGCGTATCGGCGTATGGGTGTTTGTAGGGGAAGGAGGGCACGGGGAGGGATATCGGTGCATCGGCGCATCAGCGTCTCGGCGTTCGTGGGGGAGGGGGCGTAAGTCGGTTTTCGCCCCTCGGTGCATGCACGCTAGTTGAACGACCCTAGGAGGGTGCTTCTTGGCGCGTCCGGGTCGGCATAATGGACATTCAGCAGGCTGTTTTTGGTGAAGCCGAGAGAACATGTTGAACCTTTTGGTGCTATGAGAAGATATGGGGGTATTTAGCTGGGGCATGACGTCGAAGATCCTTCAGACCCGAAACCCTAAAGCGCTCAAGCCCCACATCCTGCAAACCCCTGCCTACAAACCGCAAGGAGTTGGATCATGAACTTCAAACTTGAGAGCCCTTCAGGTCTCTTAAAGGGCCCGATGCCCTGGCAACGCAACGGCTTTGGTTTTGCATGGGTTTTGGGGTTAGGCGCGGTTAAGGTTGTGGGGTAAGGCCTGCAAACTTGGAAGTTTTGAAGGCTTTGTGTGCAGGGCTCAGGGGCTTCTCAGCTTGCAGGCGCTCAGTTGCAGGCACTCGGTTGCACCCTTGTTGGCCCCATGAGGCATCGGCAAGTCGTGCGTGGGCTTGCTCCCAACATGACGCCCCTCGATGGCAAGTGGCTGCACCGCACATGCCCCCAAACTTACCCGAAACCCTAAACCCTAAACCCTAAATTCTAAACCCTAAGCCCTAAACCCTAAGCCCTAAACCCTAAACCCTAAAACTTCATCAGCCCCACAAGGCCCCACAAGGCCCCCCTCCTTCCAGGCTGAAGGCGCTGGCCAGTGCTGCGGGCGCCAAGCCCAGGAGCTCCTCCTTTTGTTTTTTTCTGGCTTGGGGTTTAGGGTTTAGGGTTTCGGGTTTAGGGTTTAGGGTTTAGGGTTTAGGTTTTAGGGTTTAGGGTTTAGGGTTTAGAGTGTGCCGATGTCATTGTGTTGCTAAGTTGAGCCCTCAACTCCAACCCCGAACCCTACAAGCCCTGAACCCGAAAGCCAGGACGGGCTATTTCATCATCGACCCCGCGGAGGACTGCACAAAACCCTAGACCCTAAACCCCAAACCCTAAGCCCTAAACCCTAAGCCCCAAACCCCAAACCCCAAACCCTAAACCCTAAGCCCTTACCCCTAAACCTTAAACCTTAAACCCTAAACCCTAAACCCTAAACCCTAAACCCTAAACCCTAAACCCTAAACCCTAAACCCTAAACCTTAAACCCTAAACCCTAAACCCTAAACCCTAAACCCTAAACCCCAAAACCCTAACCCCTGTACCATACTGTAATCATGCTCTGAGGACTGCACCAACATGGGGGACGTGCGCCAGCTCCTGGCCCGCTGGAGTTCCGTTGGCCAGGCCCCATTTTGAGTTTAGGGTTTAGGGTTTAGGGTTTTTTTGCGGATTTTTGTGTTTTTGGGGCTTTTGGGGGTTTTTAGGGGTTTAGGGGCTTTAGGGTTTTCTGGGGTTTAGAGCTGTCAGGGGTTTAGGCAAATGGCTCAAGCCCTGGCAACGAGTCCCCAGTTGGGTGCGCATGTTTTTCCCAACTCATTCGTGCCCGCTACGCTGCTGACATGGAGTCGGGCCTTCGCGAGCTCTCTGCATGCATCATCGCACACAGCATCCAACTTGCAAAGCGCGGTTGCGTGCATGCAGCGCAGCACCTTTGGGGAGCGCTCTTCATGGCTTCGGCAGCGGCAAATGCAGATGAAGGCAGAAAGAGGAAGGTCATGGAGCTGGCCCCTTCCGCAGGGAAGCCAGGAGGTCACGGGAATTCGTCGTGCCTTTGTGCGCAGCAGACGTGCGCGATCTGCGCGAGAACCCCTCGTGGTGATGCTCCGGCGCCGGCACGCCGGGGAGCCAGGGCGCAAAAGAAGGCTTCATTTGAACAAGTGGAATGAGAAGGTCTAATTTCAACTGTTTGGGTTCATAAGAAGGCCTGGGCCTCGTTTCAACAATTGGGGGCCTGAATTAGTAAGGGTAAAGACCTCTTGAAAGAAAATACAGTCAGCTCATGAAAATATGTTTTTTTTTGGGGCGCCCAGAAGTCGCGACTGCGATTTAAAGACTTGGCTTTTCAAGGCTTAGGGCAAAAGTGTATGTATGGGTAATTCCTAAAGCCCAAAACATTCGAAGACCCTTCCACAAACCCCAAACCCTTAAACCGGTAGGTTTTGGGGTGTAAGGTTTGCGAATTTAGGCCTATGACACTTGCTTTCGTTTTGGTTTTCCGGTTCGAGACTTCAAAACCGTACCCTGCGTCCTGCACCGTAGCTTGAAGCCACAACCCCTACATCCCCGGGCCGAAAGTTTCGAGCTACGGGGCCTCTTCCTGCATGCTTAAACGACTCTAGCGTGAGTGCCGACAAATGTCGTTTTCACCACACCGGCTAGCGGAGCAACTAATACCCCGCTTTAAAAATATAGTACTGTTTCAATACTGGAGGAGGCCCCAGGGCTCACTTGTGTCAGGAGTTTATGGGGAAGAGGGTGTTGCAGGCGCAGTAGACTCTACCCAGCCCTTGTGTATCCCTAAACCCTAAACCCTAAACCCTAAACCCTAAACCCTAAACCCTAAACCCTAAACCCTAAACCCTTCACCCTTCACCCTTAACCCTGAACCCGAAGACGCAGGCCTGGCACGGCCACACTGGGCAGCCGATGCCCGCATCGAAGGAAGCAGCTCGGGTTGCAGGATGGTTCAACAGAAGTCGTAAGGGGCTTGGATGTTTTTTTTTTTTTTGGGGGGGGGGGGGTCTTTTGGGAGCCTCTTGGGGCGCCTCTTGCGGTGCCTCTCTTGGGGCTTTGCTTTCGGATGGCCTTTTTTTTCCAGCCGTTGACGCATCTTGGCGCCTTGTGTTCGGCATTTGGGGGTTGGTTATTGTTGTTGTTTTTGTTTTTTTTGTTTGCGCGGGGCGGCTAGGCCTTGCTCGTAGTGCTGCTTCGTGAAGATAGACAATGCTCATTCGTGATGGGCTTGAGGGTTTCGGGGTTATAAGTTGACCCGCACTGGGATATGATCTAACTTTTGGCGTCTTTCGGGGTCTCTACGTCCGAGAGTCCCCTAGGTCCATTCAAAAAGAATCCGAAAAGAAAACAAGAAGCCCCTGCCCTAAATGCTCAGCCCCTAAGGCTGCCTAAGCCCTAGACCCGAAACCCGAAGCCCTAAACCCTAAACCCTAAACCCTAGACCCTAAACCCTAAACCCTAAACCCTAAACCCTAAACCCTAAACCCTAAACCCTAAACCCTAAACCCTAAACCCTAAACCCTAAACCCTAAACCCTAAACCCAAGCCCTAAACCCTAAACCTTAAACCCAAGCCCCTTAGCCTCCTCAACACTCAGCCCCGACCCTCCGAGGTCTTGGAGGAGCTTTGCTGCAACGACGTCTTCATCTACCTCGGCCACGGCGAGCGGGCCAGGCGGACGTCTAGGGCTTAGGGTTCAGGGTTCGGGGTTCAGGGCTCACGGTTTGGGGGTTCAGGGGTAGAGTTTGGGGGTTCAGGGTGAGGGTTCAGAGTTTGGGGCTACAGAGTTTGGGGTTCAGAGTCCAGAGGCTGGGGGTTCAGGTTCAGGGTGTAGCGTTCAGGGTTTGGGATCCAGGGCTTAGGGTATTCTGTTGTCGGGGGATGCAGGGTCTCATGGAGATTCACCCGCAGGTTTTGCTAGGACAAGGGGTGGGGGCAAGAGTAACATCTGAGCTCAAGTCCAGCGGTTGGTGTCCTAAGTCACGAAGTCTCTAGACCGGGAACGCTGCAACGTGAAACTCTTGAAGCCCTTCATTGAAGCAGGTCGTATTCTGGAGACCCCCAACTTACGGTAGTCAGAACCGTACTGTAACCCTAAACCCTAAACCTTGGGATGTTCCCAATTATACTAACAGTCCTTAATAGGGATGATAATAGGGGGTTTTGTGGGAACCATCCCAACCTAAACCCTTTTGCCAACTACCCAAGGTCCCCCAGCTTCTAAGCACTTGAAACCCGAAACCCTAAAAGCGGTGCTTTGCAGGCAGCTTCTGCGCCAGGATGAGCTGCAGTGCCTCAGCTGCAGCTTGCAAGTGGGGTTTAGGATTTAGGGTTTAGGATTTATGGCAAGTGCCCTACATCCTCAACCTCGAATGCTGAATCCTATATCCCCCCTTAGACCCTAAACCCCAAACCCTGAACCCTCAACCCTGAACCCTAAACCTCCCCAAACTCCCAAACCCTGAGTCCATGCAGTCCCCCTCAGCCCCCCCATGCCTCCCCCCCCAGCCCCCCCCCCCCCCCCCCCCCCCCCCCCCCCCCCCCCCCCCCCATCACCCCCCCCTCCCCCTCCCTAAAGAACTCACCCCCCCCCGCCCCCCACCCCCCCACCCCCCCCCCCCCCCCCTCACCCCTCCCCCCCCCCCAACCCCCCCCCCCAAAGAAAGTGTGCGACTCTCGGAGGATGGCGGGGCCTTGCATCAAGTCTTCCTCGCAGCCGGCTTCGAGGAGGCTTAGGGGCTTAGGTTTGAGGGTTTAGGGTTTAGGGTTTAGGGTTTAGGGTTCTGACTTATGCTAGAAAATAAACAGATGTTGGCAGCAACCAGTCTTTATCACCAAAACTCCTTGTTATTCTATGAGAGCGCGTCTTCTTCTATTATTATGAGTATTTGCTATTTAGGGTTAGGGTTAGGGTTTAGGGGTTTAGGGTTTAGGGTTTAGGTTATTATATTCTATATGATGACGATGAATATTCGTCGTTATTCTTATTTAATTCGTGCTGTTGTCTTCACAGTGTTATTTTCTTTATTGTTGTTTGTTTCATTGTTATCTCATAGTAACAGTAAACATGATTAGTGTGTCGTTACTGTTAATGCAACCGTAGTTGGAACTGTTATTGTTATGTTGATTTACTAAGTTACTGATACTAGCCCCTAGACCTGAAACCTTAAACCTAAACCCTGAAACCTGAACCCTGAACACTGAGCCCTATCCAGGAGAGCTCCCAAGAGTCCCTCGACGAGCCCGCAAGCGACACCACCACGAGGGGCCTTCGGTGGCTGGTTTGGGGGGGGGGTTTAGGGATTGGGGTTTAGGTTTTTAGGGTTTTGGGTTTCGGGTTTCGGGTGTAGGGTTTTTGGGAAGTGCTTGGGCTTGGGGTTGAGGGCTCCAGCTTGCGGTTACTTCGCCAGAGGCCGTGCTTAGTCGCATTTCCTTTTTCGCATTCGGGCATACAGGCTGGGCGACATGCCCTAAACTGCCTAGAGCCCCCCTAAGTCAGGCCCTAAGCCCTAAACCCTAAACCCTAAACCCTGAAGGTCGATCCTGATGCTGCTTGGCTGCTCCAGCGTGCGGCTGCAGCGGGCGGGGGCGCAGGCCTCTCCCCCAAAAGATTGTCGGCACCGGGACCCTACACAACAAGTGTTTATTTAAAATATTCTTCAAAAGCACTAAGACCCTAAACCTAAACCCTAAACCCTAAAACCTAAACCCTAAACCCTAAAGTTCTCAATGCTCAAGCCTGAAGCCCGTAAAGCCTCGACTCCAAAAGGCCCCCTCAGCCTGCTCCCACTTGAGACCCTGAAGCCTTACAAAGCCCCAAAGCCCCAAAGCCCGAAACCCTGAAACCCCTGTGAGGGCACAAAAGCCCCTGTCACCACTGCTTTCTGGAACTTTGGGTTTTGGGTTTTGGCTGTTTTGGGGTCTCGGGTTCGAAGTGTAGGGTTTAGTGTTTAGGATTTAGGGTTTAGGGATCTGTCCCGAACCTGGCGCAGCCACTGCAGCATCCCAAAGCCGAAAAACATCGTGACGTGACCTGCACTTGGCAGACAGACCCTTGGTGGCCGAGTGGTAAAGGTGTTTGAGGGCTTGGGTTTAGGGTTTAGGGTTTAGGGTTTAGGGTTTAGGGTTTCGGGTTTCGGGTTTCGGGTTTCGGGTTTCGGGTGTAGGGTAGGGTGTAGGCTTTAGGCTTTAGGCTTTAGGCTTTAGGCTTTAGGCTTTAGGCTTTAGGCTTTAGGCTTTAGGCTTTAGGCTTTAGGCTTTAGGCTTTAGGCTTTAGGCTTTAGGCTTTAGGATTTAGGCTTTAGGCTTTAAGATTTTAGGCGTTAGGGTTTACGGTTTGGGGTGAGTGGCAAAGGGGTTGACGGCTTTCAGGGCTTTTGTGATATAGGGTTTGTGGCTTCTTGCTAGCTGAGTGGTGTCCTTTTGCCCTTTTTTTCACCAACCCTAAACCCTAAACCCTAAACCCTAGACCCTCAACCCTATACCCTAAACTCTAAACCCTAAACCCTAAACCCTAAACCCTAAACCTTAAACCCTAAACCCTAAACCCTAAACCCTAAACCCTAAACCCCAACACCATCCCACGGTTGCCGACCAAGGACCATGGAAGAGGTGTGCCTTGATGCTCCGATGGTGCCCGGGCTGCAGGAGCCAGCTCTCACTCCTGGCATGCAGCCGATCGGGGAAACCCAGCCCGCCTGCTCGACTTCAAGGTGGGTTTAGGGTTTGGGGTTTAGGGTTTAGGGTTTGGGGTTTGGGGTTGAGGGTTTAGGGTTTAGGGGTGTTTTGGGTGCCAGCTCAAGGACAATCATGTTTACGAAAATGGGGGATCCCTAGAATAGATCCCCAAATAGTAGGATTCCCTTACAATAAGGACTCCGAATAAGGTACCCTAATTCCGGAAACCACCATGTTTTTGGAATCGCTTCTACTTGGTGCTAATTGTCTATTAGACTAATGTGTAGCCGGGGTTTCTGAGAACAGAGAGCAGCATCAGGCCCAGTGCCGCGCCCAAGGCCAAGGCCGAGGCCAAGGCCAACCAAGGCCAAGGCCACGCCGGCCGCACCCCCAGCAGCCCACCGAAACCAAGAGTGCTCGGACCTTTTGATGAATTCCTTGCTGCCCCCCCCCCCACCCACCCGCTCCAAGCAAGAGTACAGTGGAGCAGATGGTGGCATACATGGCCAAGATCGGCAAGGTCCACATGACTTTCTATCCAGGCGGTGGCGACGAATGGGAGGAAGATGAGGCAGTCAGCAATTTTCTTACGACAGGCAAGCCGAAGTTTCGCATAATGCAATGCACTTCGCACACGGAGCGTCTCCAACTCGCATTGTTGGACGAAAAGCACGGAATGGACGCAGCTTTCCTCGATGCGAAAGAGAAGTCCTTCCTGGATGCGATGAGCCAGGATGAAAAGCGCAGAATGTTCTCTCTCACAGATGAGGACATGGAGAGCTTGGACGAAACAAAGGAAGGCGAAGACATGAAAATGCCAAGCTTGCCATCTTCGTCCTCGTCATCACAACAAAAGAAGACGCGTCCCTACCCTTTGTCAGAGCCTGTGGAGCACCCGGGGGAGGTAGCAGACATCATCAAGGACACTCTGAGCCGGCTCTTCAAATGGTAGGAACAACACCATCCAAGTAGGCCCCTAGTACCCGCTCGGGAGATTAGACCTGTGGTCTGAGCCACGGACAACAAGCGGGAAGCATGGCCCGCGCAGTCATTCTGTTTCGGGCACCTGCTTGGGAAAACGAGAGATTAAGACAGAAACTACCGGAGGCATTTCTCACAAAGTCAGTCCTTGCAGGGCCCTCTGTTCCATGAATTCGTTTGTTGTCGACAGAGATGGATGGCCTTTGTTATTGCAACTTGTCCTTGCACCGGTACAGGAGCTGTGTCGCCCTGTTTGACTCTAAGGGTTCAGGGTTTCTATTTGGGATCTTGTGTTCGGATCCGGATTTTGTGCAAGGACTTTGGCAAACGACTGAGGCTCTCCTTTAATTTTGTCGTGCATTGCCGAAGGACCTTTGAACCGGCCCACTCGTGACGGAATATCGCTACTGCCGACAGAATATGAGTATTTCCCAAAATAGGGGAGCCCCTTTTATATTCCCAAGCAGAATAGAATCCCCTTAAAGGGACCCCCCATGTTCGGAAACCCCCACACCTCTTGCGTGCGAAGATCGTTTGACCCAGCCCAGTCATGACGGAGTACGTATCACTACTGCAGAAGCCCGAAGTCCCAAATTCTCCCATGGTAGCTTTGTACGCGTCTTCGCTGGGCCCTTTGGTTTAAAACTCCTTCGATATTGGTGAGGCCCGCAGACCCTGACAGTCTGCGGGCCTGTCGGGCTGGTGTTCAGAGCAGCTGGAGCTGTAAGCCCGAACTAGACAAGACCCTTAATCCCGCCACTTTTGCAGACTCAGCATTTTTCTGCTCTGACGCCACAGCACAGTCCCAAACGCGCGCAAACGGCGCTCTCAATGGTGCTCTACATGGCGCCGATGGCTCCGTCAGTTCTGCTGTGCAGACCCGGACGCCACGCAGGTCCGGGGTGGCTGCAGAGAGAGGGGCTTAGGACGAAGTCGCAAATGTCGAAGCTACTTTAGGGTTTAGGGTTTAGGGTTTTGGGTTTAGGGATCAACTCTTCTGATAAAGCTTCAAAATTCCGAAGCTTGGACCCGCCTCTGGACCACCTAGCGCAGATCCTGCAGACCATCACTCTTTGCCGTCATAAAAGTTGCTTCGCGTACGTTTTCGGGCTTCAGATTGCTAGCACTCTCCACCCCGCACCCTCTCCCCCATCCAACTCTCAACCGCCCGACTGACTAACCCTTTTTTAGGATGTAGGGTTTACAGGGTTTGCGGGGTTTACAGGGTTTACAGGTTTTGCAGGGTTTCCAAAGCCCTAGCCTTTAAAGCCCTACCTGAACTGCCCCAAACCCAAACTCCCAAAGCCTTAACCTTTAAAGCCCTACAAGCCCTAGCTGTTATAAAGCCCTACAAACCCTAAACCCTAAACCCTAAACCCTAAACCCTAAACCCTAAACCCTAAACCCTAAACCCTAAACCCTAAACCCTAAACCCTAAACCCTAAATCCTCAACCCAGGGCCGGCGGGGAGACTTCGGGTCCTTCGGCCTGGCCAGCAGCGCCCTCCTGGGGGGAGCGCCCTTGGTCCTGGGGGCGCAGTGGCCCGGAGGAGCTTGGAAGGGTCTGGGGGTTTTGGGGGGTTTGGGGTTTAGGGTTTAGGGTTTGGGGTTTAGGGTTTGGGGTTTAGGGTTTGGGGTTTAAGGTTTGGGGTTTAGGGTTTTGGGGTCTAGGGTCTGGGGGTTTGGGGGTGGTTCTGAAGGTTTTTTGCGCGCCCTGTGTCCGAAGCATCCCTGAGCCCTCAAGCCCGGAGCATCCCCCCGGGCCCTGAAAGCCGAGACCCTAAACCCTAAACCCTAAACCCTAAACTCTAAACCCTAAACCCTAAACCCTAAACCCTAACGCCTAAACCCTAAACCCAGGTGGGACGTGCTTGGCGGCGATCTGGATCGACTGGCCAGCAGGTGCCAAAGGGGCTGCGAGGGTTTTGCTGGTTTCAGGCAGAGTTGGCAGGCCTCTGGGAATTCTTGGCCTAGGGTTTTTCTGGTTTGGGGTTTGGGGTTTGGGATCTAGGGCTGGTTTGCAGGTTTGGGGTTCAGGGGTGTAAGGGTGTTGGGGTTTTGTGGGTTTGCGGTTTGGGTGATGTTCGGTGCAGGCCGCCGATGCCTTCACCTAAGGGCACGAAGCTTGAGTCCCCAACTCTGCAGCAAAAAGGCCGGCCTAAGCTTTCGAGTCGGAAGCTCGCGTCAACACCATTGATGCTTACCCCAGCCGCAGGCTAGGGGAACAGGAGCAATAAACCCTCTTAAACCCTAAACCCTAAACCCTAAATCCTAAACCCTAAACCCTAAACCCTAGACCCTAGACCCTAGACCCTAGACCCTAGACCCTAAACCGTGCAAAGGCTCCTCCAAGAGTGGCTGAAGGGCGCAGCAGATGAGGCTCCAGGAGGCCGCGGATGGGTCCGGGCGTTGAGGGACAATGGGTTTGGGGTTTAGGGTTTAGGGTTTAGGGTCAAAAACCCCGAACCCTAGACCCGATCAAGGTCTTAATCTAGGGCTTCGAGCTTGAGGGTTTAAGCTTGCGGTTTAGAACATGTTCTTAATTCTTTACTTGGAGGTATGTATAGGGTTGTTAGGCCACTCTGGATGAACCCCAGAACTCTCTTAAACGCTAGTAGGCTCTAAACTTGTCCGTTTCGTGGCCCTAAACCTAACCCTAAACCCCAAACCCCAAACCCTGAACCCTAAACCCTAAACCCTAAACCCTAAACCCTAAACCCTAAACCCTAAACCCTAAACCAGTAACCGAGGCCTCCTCTCCTCCCTTCGGACGCTGCGGCCGCGGTGCATGCTGCCCAACCTCACCGGGGCCGCCGTCGTGCTCCGGACATGGAATTTTGGAACCTGGATTCTGGAACCCTGAACCGAAACCCCTATGTTGGGAAACACTGTACCTGCTAGTAGTGGCTTCGGAGCGCTTGCTGAGACATCCCTGGCGTCCTTTCAAGATGGAGGCCGCAGAAGATGAGTAGTCCATATGCAGGTGGAGCTTCAGATTCTTAGGCTGTGTAGGAGTTCTACAGGTTTAGGCTCCAATTCAATGCCTAGGAACTACAAGTTGGGTCTATTGTGAAGGTATAGAAGCGGCACGGGAAGATATAGTATGTCTTTGTATAAGAAGGCTTGAAGACTGACAAGGCTTAGCGTTTGCTCCCGAAGCTTCGTCCCATGTGCGCTTGCCCTGCCTCGCTGCAAGCCGCCTCCGTGAGAAGCCGCGCGAAGGAGCATTGTCCGGGGATCAGGACTTGGAGGTTCAGGGACTGATGAGCCCCAAAATAACTGTACTGATAATAAGCCCCCTAAACCCTCTAAGCAGATTAGTACGGATAGTAAGCCCCCTAAGCCCTCTAAGCCGATGAACTGTACTGATAGTAAGCCCCCTAAGCGCCCTAAGTCAGCTTACAAGTAGACTTACAATTGGGGGTTGACTACAGGGTTGGTAGTTGTGTGTTGGGGCATCGGGTGCTCGGGTTGTCAAGTGAAGAGGACGAAGGGCCGTGCCAATCCTCCCGCCCCTGCTATTGAAGGTCCATCGGCCGTTACAAGTAGGGTGATAAGTGCCCAGTGCTCTACTCTTCCTTGCCCATGAACCTCCAAGTCGCTTGAAGGTTCATGAGTAGATGTCGGTAGGGTTCTAAGTGCATTAAGGTCAGAATACGTGTTCCCTAACCATGGAACCTCCAAGCAAGGTTTAGGCAAAATTTGCGCCATTCAGGTAGGGTTATAAGTACCCAATCAAGGGTTCCAATGTATTTGCAGGATGGAGCCCTAACCCTAAACCCTAAACCCTAAACCCTAAACCCTAAACCCTAAACCCTAAACCCTAAACCCTAAACCCTAAACCCTAAACCCTAAACCCTAAACCCTAAACCCTAAACCCTAAACCCTAAACCCTAAACCCATGCAAAGTTTGCAGGATGAAGCCGCATCCTCGGGTGGTGTACCGCGGCCGTTGCCTTGCTCTCGGCTGCGGAGGCCAGGGAGTGGTAGCTCTGAGAAACCCATTTGTCTGGGCCGGAACCCTCAACCCTAAACCTTAAACCCTCAACCCTAAACCTTAAACCCTCAGCCCTAAACCCTAAACCCTAAACCCTAAACCCTAAACCCTAAACCCTAAACCCTAAACCCTAAACCCTAAACCCTAAACCCTAAACCCTAAACCAAGCCCCAGGCTTCTTGGTGCCTGGCTTGGTCGGAAGCCTCCGCTCCGCTTCCGGCGGCCGAGCGCGGCTGCTGTTCGCGGGCCGCGCGGACGAGGTGCTCGGAAACTCCCATTAGGGTTTGGGGTTTGGGGTTTGGGGTTTAGGGTTTAGGGTTTAGGGTTTAGGGTTTGTTGAGGGTTTGGGGTTTGGGGTTTAGGGTTTGGGGTTTGGGGTTTAGGGTTTGGGGTTTAGGGTGGGGAGCTCGTTTTTTGGGAATTAACAGAGGGTTCAGAGTTTAGGGGCGTTGTGCGTGTTGGTAACGATCCACACCACGTGGAAAACAGATACAGAAAGTGTGGAAGTGTACGCTGGAGGTCAACGCCACTGAGCCTAACACTCCTTACTAGGGCGGATTATCATCGGGGGTACGATAATCCCTATTAAGGACTGTTAGTATAAGGACCAACTGGTATGTTTCGATTCTGTGCGCCGGCCAGGTGGAGGCGTCGGTGGAGGACCTGGCAGAGGTCGGAAGCCCTGCGGGAGACGGCTTCTTGGTGGGCGAGCGCCTGGAAGCCCTGGTGTGGGAGTCAGGGCCACGGTGCTATACAAAACAAGGGGTGGCAGCATTCAGGTCATGTATGAGGATGGGTGGCAGCCCGAGGCTTTGTCTGCATCTTCTTTCCGACGCTTGGGCACACCTGTGGCCGACTCAGCCTGGATTTCTGGCTGGCCGAGCTTCGTGCGTCTGGCTGACTTGCGGCAGCTGTGCGGGGTGAGCCGTTCCAGCCGACGCGTCGCAGCCGATTGGATCTGCTGTTGGTTGGATGGTGTCGAGGAAGCAAGGGCTGGTGCCAGGTGCCCTTGGGTTGACAGCGTCCTCTACGAACGCCTCGCCTCTCGAAGTGTCACAAGCTTCTCTGAACCAAGTTGGCCGGAGCTTTTCAGCAAGGAACCCGGCCACAGGCTGCCATGTCCACCGCGGGTGTCTGTGCTGCTGTCGGCTTTGAGGCCGCCAGAACAGCCACACCTTCTTCTGGGGGAGGGGAGTCCCCACCAGCGCACCTTGGGAGTTGCTCGGCTGAGTGGCTTCCTCAGGGGAGACTTGAACTGCAACTACACGGAGCAGCTGGGTGTCTTCCGCTGCCATGATCAGCCGACCTATTGGTCAGACTCCAGGAACGTGTTTTTGTATTACCACGGCCCATCGAAGACTTGGACGCTTGCTCCATGGGATGCGTGGGCAGAGGTGAAGATCTTGGGCGATGGGCCACTCTTCGCGCACAGCCAGCCGCGCGCCCGGCTCAAGGACCCGGACCAGGCATGGTACGAGTTCCCGACTGGGGAAGAGAAGACACTCCGAAGGGTGATGGCCCAGTTTTGCAAGCGAGAGTTTCAGGTAGAGAAGAGAGCTCCAAGCCTGCTCTCCACCCTGCCGGGGGGCCCAGAATTGCTCCAGATGGCTGACAAGACGTCCCGCAAGCACCTGTCAGCAGTCTTCACCAAGCTGACGGACATCTGCAGGATTTTGCAGGACATGCCCACTGATGGTGGCAGGCTGGCCAAGCAGCTGGATTGTGCCTGGCCCCTGGAGGGCCTTGACTTGGAGTTCGTGCTGGTGTGCAAGGATGTCGTGGCCAGAGCAGCTCAGGTGAAGCAGAGGGAGGAGATGCAGGCTGTTCTTCTGCAGCGTCAGAGGGCCAGAGCTGAAGCTAGGAGCAGAGCAGCTGCTGAGGAGCTGATCGCTGAAGAGCAGAGGCTGTACCAGAAGGCGACGGCGAAAAGGGACCGGAAAACCCGACATCACCGTCACAGCAAGGTCTTGCAGATCTCAACGCCAGAGGCCATACCTCCAGACGAGGAGGGAGTGCATTCAGAAGGCGAGCCAGTTGAAAGTGCCTTCATGGCTTGCAGCTTGCCGGGCAGTTGCTGGCAGAGGTCAGGCACCGAAGACATGTCAGAGAGCGTCCGCAAGCTGCGGCACAACTTTCCGATGTATGACGACGATGTGCTTGGCAGCCATCTCCTCCAGGCGGGCAACGACCTGGAGCAAGCGGTGCTTTCCTTGTCATCCCTAGATGCAGAGAAGACGTGTTCCCTCATCCCGCTGGATCTCCCCTGCTGCCGACCTGACCGCAAGAGGTCTGGCAGGCCCCAGAAGATCATTGCGAATGTCCTGGCCCGGACCGATCATGCTCACTTGCCGCTTTTCTGCTTCGTCCTGCTGATTACTGTTTCAGAGTCCGAGAAGTACAGGCCCGGCCGCATTGTGCGGCCAATTCCCGAAGACAGGTTTCGCCTCCTGGGTGACGAGAAGGGCCACTTCTGGAAGCGGATGCCTTCGGCGCTACCGGAAGTAGGTCACGTTGTTGAAATCCATTTCTATGAGGAGGACACCGCGGACTATCTGCAGGCTGCCCACGGAAACTATCCACACCAGAATGAGGACCTGCTCTGCACATCCCTAATCCTCCGAAGCCGTTGCAACTTGCAAAGAAATGCCGCTGGCCTGAAATAGGATTGTTGATAACGTGATCTTTGGGTCTACGGTTCCTCGTTCAAGATGGCGCCGTCCTCAGTCCACGCATCAAAACATGAAGTGTCGTCTGGTACGTGCTGGGTTGAGACTGCCCTGAGTCATAGCCTGGGACCCAAAGTACGCCCTGATTCAATTTTTTTCCTGTTTTTTTTCCTGTTTAGGATCCCTGAGAACCCCCTTGAAACCAAAAAGGGCATCCCTTTTTAGCTTCGTTTCGTCTTGCGACTAGTAGCTGGATCCCTTCTTCGAACTGCTGACAGCAGCGACTTCAGTAGTGAACATAAAAAGAGCACCGTATGTGCGGGTTTAAGGGTTTAGGTCTTTGGGTTTCGGGTTTAGGCTTTAGGGTTTAGAGTTTAGGGTTCCTTGGGCTGTATGCTCACGAGGTCGTGGCCAGAGGTGCTCTTCTGAGTATGGCCGTGGACCACGTGGAGCAGAGATGGCCTTGGGCAAGGGGCCTCGGAAAGTTCAAGTCGGTTCAGCCAGGGAAGTTCATCTGGTATGTCTCTGCTCAGCAGAAGCACCTGCCGTCCGTGCTCGTGTTGCGGCAGCATCGCCCCCAGGAGGTGCACTTCAAATACCGGAGTGACTCTAGCGACAGGGTGTGCGTCGACTTTCCAGCAGGCCGACGTCGTCGCTTGTCAGACGTGGCCGTGACAGCAGCTGGATTCAACAGGCACCCTCTAGACCTCAACGCGAGCTTCCATCAAAAGGCCTCGGACGTAGACTTCCTGTTTATCCTAGGCCTGGCGCGGGCGGAGCGGTGTGGCCCGGCAGGCTTCAATCGCCTCGCGGAGTGTTCCGAAGCACACCAGCGGCGGCTCGATCCTGAGGATTACGAGGAGTACTGCCAAATCCTACTCATCGGCATCATTGAGCTGCGCAAAGTGCCTGAGTTTGATGGCGCTGCCCTGGTGTCTCAAAGTGCCGCCTCTTTCAGGCCAGGTGGGAGCCACACTATGACTGCGACTTCAGGGTCCACATCTCGCCCGAATTAAGAATTGGCTCGGGCTCGGGCATAGCCCTTTGCGAGCTCATAATTAGCATGATGGTCCTGCGTGCAGAGACACGCCCCCCGCGGCTTTTGTTTCACGTAGTCACCTGTCTTGCGCAGGCATTCCGCAACAGGTCTCCTAGCAGACCTGTTGCGGAATGATGCCCAATTCATTCGCGAGCATCTGCAGGATGAATGGGATGCACCCTAAACTTTAAGGCCATAGAACGCTCAAATCCTCCACCGCGCAGCTGCACGGCCGAAAAACAAGCCAGCAGTCGAAGGGCCACACCCTCAGCCCCCAACATCCAGCTCGGAAGCCCTATGAGCAAGTGGGTGGTGAAGCTCCGATCTCTACAGCGTTGATTAGGTTACCAGGTAAGTGCTAAGCAACTCCACCTTGAAAACAAATCCGAGTCTGGAGATTGCTTGCCCTAAGCCTTGAGAACCTAAACCCTAAACCCTAAACCCGAAACCTTGAGCCCCCATTTTGACTTCTGACGTGCCGCCCAGGTCTGCTACGGCATTCCCATGTAGGCCCAGGCCGGTGCCAGCGCAGTAGGGTTTAGGGTAGCTGGAGTAACCCTAAACCCTAAACCCGAAACCCGAAACGCTAAACCCTGAAACCCTAAACCTGGGCTTGAGGAGGTTGAGGGGTCAAGCTTGGTTTGGCTGGGGTTTAGGGTTTAGGGTTTAGGGTTTAGGGTTTAGGGTCTAGGGTCTAGGGTTTAGGGTTTAGGGTTTAGGGTTTAGGGTTTAGGGTTTAGGGTGTGTAAGGCTCCTTGCGTGTCGGGCAGGCGGCCTTCCTGCCTTCCTGCTTGCGAGGTCATGTGGAGACAAGACCTTAAACCCTAAACCCTAAACCCTAAACCCTAAACCCTAAACCCTAAACCCTAAACCCTAAACCCTAAACCCTAAACCCTAAACCCTAAACCTTAAAAGCAAACCCCTCAACCCCAAACCCCAAAGCCCAGACCTTAAACCCCAAAGCCCATCACAGTTCGCTGGCCCAACTTTGTTGGTCGCGTAGATCTTGGCCTCGCAGCTTGAATCACACTAGACCCTCATACTCACACCCCCAAAAATGCCACCCACAAGGCACTTTTGCAGTTCTCGCCTCCAAAAGAAACATGGGTAGTTCTCTAAATTAGGGTCCCTTTTGGGGATCCCTTTTTTCAGGGTGCCGCCTTATAAGGGGGTACCCAAAAATGGGCCCTAATTTTGACAACTACCCACATGTCTCCAGGCGTGGACGCCAAGATGAGCCATCTGCCCCAGCACTGCTAAGCAGTGCTGGTCGGAATTCAGCAAACGCGCCCCTAATTCACCGCAACGTAGGCAGACACGCCATGCCGACAATCTCAAGTTTTCGGGGGTTTAGGGTTTAGGGTTTAGGGTTTAGGGTTTAGGGTTTAGGGTTTAGGCCGGGACCTTCGCGTTATTCCTCAGTCTTTTTCGTCACTCCCCTGTTGCTTGTAAGGTCGGCCGCCTGTCGGCCCGAATTGACAAGGCCGTAGTTTTTTGCCCAAGGCCTTTGCAAGCTAGTTTTTTGCGCATGACTTGAGCGTAGTCCCATCGCAGCGCAAAAAAGAAGAGAGCACCATCCTCGATGCCTTTGTCCAGGCCTCTGTGAGCCATGCCAAGCTGAAAAGTGGCATTCATGGGCGAAAGTCGGCATACCACCCTCACCCCCGCCCACGACCCACTCCTCCGTCAAGACGAACCTGAGCATGCTGACGCCCCCAAAAGCGATCAAACCCCTCGCGACCGGATACCCGAGCCCGAGCCCAACGAGCCCTTAGCCGCCGCTCTCGCCACGCGCTGTTTGGCCCAAGTCTCACCTAAGTTTTGTGTTTAGGACGCAAACGAGACGACGTAGGTAGGTGTGTGTCTTGAAAGGGCTCAGAGACGCCCGGGACACAGCTGCGCTGCTCAGGTGAGGGCTGTGATCTCTCTCTCTCTCTCTCTTGTGGGCGCCTTCTTTGGGGAGTTATCCGAAACATTGAGCTGCAAGAGAAGGAGAACCTTAAGGCACATGCCATAATGGGGAACAGGGCCGTACATGTCGATCAGCCTCCAAAGGAGGGCTGGTACTTTCAGGGGAGTTTCACGGAGGTGGAGGGGGGCTTTGGGGTGCTTTGTCAATTTCCAGCACGATGGCTTTATGATCCCTATAGGCTTATATTATGAACTACCCAGAACGCATCTTCTGACTTCAACAGACCTCTAACCCTAAGCCCTAAATCCTAAACCCTTACGCAGAACATAGGGGATTGGGTTCGACGGTTCAGAACCTCCAACACGACCCTGAAAACCCAAAGATATCAAGCCAAAACCCCCTGTCGCGCTTAAGTAGTCCCCAAACCCTATCGCCGATATCTGAGACTCTGAACCCCAGACCCTAAAAATCAAACCCTAAACCCTAAACCCTAAACCCTAAACCCTAAACCCTAAACCCTAAACCCTAAACCCTAAACCCTAAACCCTAAACCCTAAACCCTAAACCCTAAACCCTAAACCCTGAAAACGAACAACACAACACCCCAAAATCCGAAGCCCAAAAAAACGCGTTACGACAGAGCAACAGGGGCCCGAAGATCCTTACGCATCCCCCTAAACCTTATCAGCCCCAAACCCCAAGCTCCAAACCCCAAACCCTAAACCCTAAACCCCAACTTCTACCTCTGAACCCCAAAAGCCCAAACCCTAAACCCTAAACCCTAAACCCTAAAACCCTAAACCCTAAACCCTAAACCCTAAACCCTAAACCCTAAACCCTAAACCCTAAACCCTAAACCCTAAACCCTAAACCCTAAACCCCAAACCCAACATCCCCCACTGAGGGCCCCTAGAGCCGAGGCTTCGGCTGCGCCGATGCATGTCGTTGCCACCCTTAGTGCCGCGTGCTTTGTTGTTTAGGGTTTAGGGTTTAGGGTTTAGGGTTTAGGGTTTAGGGTTTAGGGTTTAGGGTTTAGGGTTTAGGGTTTAGGGTTTAGGGTTTAGGGTTAGGGTTTAGGATTTAGGGTCTAGGGTCTAGGGTCTAGGGTTTAGGGGGGTCTACTGGTTAGGGTTTCAGGGTTTAGGGAGGGTTTGGGCCCTAAGGGGCTTGCAACCTGCAGAGGCTACGTTTAGGGTTCAGGGTTTACGGTGTGCCCTCCCAGGCAACCCCGCCTGGACCCGTCTGTTCGAGCATGCCTTGCTTGCAAGGCAAAGCACCACTCAATCGGAACAGACTATCCACAGATTTCGAGAAAGCAGGCTGTGCTGCATGCGCATTTCATGCTGGTAACCTACATGTGCTGGGTGACCAGCACAGAAACCACCGCCCTTTGGCTTACAGCCGCCGCTCAAACGAGCAAGGCTCCGGGCATGGAAGTACTTGGAGGTTCATGGTACTTATTAACCAATTATAACTGTGATAACCCACTGATAAGCCCCTTAAGTGCCCTAATATGGTTATATGTACAGTTATAATTGGTGAATAGCCCATCACTCCTTTGCAGGTCTCATCCAAGCCCGAGACACTTCCCCAAGCGACGCGTTGTTGCCCTTACAACCCTTAAACCCTAAACCCTGGACCCTAGACCCTAAACCCAGACCCCTAAACCCTAAACCCTATACGTGCTTGGTGAGGGCAAACCCGGCTGAGGTCGCTTTCCTCGCGCTTTGCCGCCTCACCGAGGGCAACTGGCTTCTGCAGCCGGGATCCCAGCAGTTTAGTGCAGCCGCCAAAAAAGTTCCAATTTTCTAATCCCGAAATATTATATAAGCTACCCCCCAAATGCACATTATTAATTGAACCGCGCTCAAACGTTGGGGTGATACCGAGCATTTTTAAATCTGGAATCTATTGTTTTCCTTTTGGGCTAGAGCCGCGGCTCAAGATACTGGTGAAGGCGCTGTCGGCTCAAGATACTGGTGAAGGCGCTGTCGTGCGAACGTGGTCGCAAGCTTTTGCCATCGAGTTGGAAGTAGCTCGGCCCCTTTCTGCCTGTCAAATGTCGGAATGGCGGCATATAAATTCGCGTACTGTCAACTTCCATCATGAAAGTACACCGTGATGACGAACAACTCCAAGTGCTCTTGAGGCGTCTTCATAATAATGTGAAGCGGCTGAACTCCCCCTGCTGCAGTTCACTTTCCTGTTGGTTTTAGGTTGTCGTGCGTGTGGGACTTAACTGAAGCCGCGGAGTCCACGGCCTTGTGACTGAAGTCCGAATTCACACTGCTTGTCATGCACAAGCCATTCGGACTTCTACACGCTCATGTGTTGAAGCAAATCCTGAAACTCGGAATTTTGTTCAACCTTCTCAGACGTCCGTCTCTTGGAATGTCTCGAAATTTGCCAGCAAAATTATTCCTTCCGGCTGCTGGGTGATGTTGATATCTCTTGTGTCTCGCACACACCCTAAACCCTAAACCCCAAACCCTAAACCCTAAACCCTAAACCCTAAACCCTAAACCCTAAACCCTAAACCCTAAACCCTAAACCCTAAACCCTAAACCCTAAACCCTAAACCCTAAAGCCCCTTGACAAATGTGCTTAGCAGATCTGCGCTTTCTTGCCTGGGAGACCAGGTCCCAAGCAAGTTTTGAAATTTGCCTAACTGCCTTTGCAAACATAGGGGCGGTCGTCAAAAATATGATCCCTTGTGGGGTACCCTAAATATTAGGTGCCGTATTATAATAGGGATCAAAAAAGGGACCATAATTTTGACAACCACCCATAGAGATGCTCTGGAGCATGCTCATCAGATGCAGTCGTGTGGCAAACATGCAGTGACCACACGTTGCCAGACCCCTTTTTTGATTGCTAAGGACCAGTGCCCTTGTCGTTCAAAGCCCTAAAGAAACCCTAGACCCCAGAAGCTTGTTCTCCGTCGAACCGCCGAATCATACGTGATCCTGCTTTCGGGCAGCTGATGTTGCGGAAGCTGCCTATTCTGAGTGGAACAAGCATTTTCCGGACGCTTGAAGTTTTGCTGCAGCGTACACTTGATGGCGTGTAGCACGCCCATGTGGCGTACTGTTCATGTGAGTGTGCATATCACTCTTGTTTCGCCCTCATCGCTATTGGGCTTTTGGGGTCAAGAATTTAGGGTTTTCAGCGGCTTGGGTTCAGGGCTTCAGGGCTTGGCGGGGTTAGGGAGAGGGGAGTGAGGGTGCAGGGCTTTCGAGGTTTGTTTTGGGTTTCAGGGCTTAGGGCTTCTTGACTTCCACATTTGGGTTTATATCGGGTTTAGAGTTAGCGTGCACCGGCATACCAAGGTCCCCTTGTAGCTTCAGCAGGAACCCTTCAGATTGTGGCATCGGGTTCTTTTTGCCCAGGTGCTCCTCCTGTGTGGATCAGGCGGGCAGATACCGAAATCTTGAACCTTCGAATTCAAGTTAATGTAAAACGAAATGTATGTGCAAGCATATGTAGTATACTTATACATATATACATATGTTAACCAAATACATAGGGATATGTCTCCGCGGTATTCATGTTCCTCTATACAGATTTCCTCTTCTGGTTGGCCACGCGAGAGTCACTGAATTTGGTTCCTTCACCGCGAACATGGGGGCCTGGAAGGACTTTGAGGTGTGGTGTTTGAGGTTATATGAGGCGGGGTTTAGGGTTTAGCGCTTAGGGCTTAGGGTTTAGGGTTTCGGGTTTAGGGGATGATGGGGCCTAAGGTCAGGGAATTGGTGCTTCTGGCCACCCAGGAACAAATTAAAGCTGCACATTCAGTAGTCTGCTTGAGAAGTATGCTCCTTTTCTCTTGAACCCTCGTCCTAAACCTAGGGCCAAAGGAACATTTCTTGTGCTTTTATGGTTCTGAGAGGGGTGGAGAAGGACCTAGCTTGCACCAGCCACGACTCGCAGTCTGAGGAACCCTAAAACCTAACCTCCTGCACCCGCAAGGCCCTAAAGCCTGAGACCCAATTTTCGCTCCGGGTGTTTAGGGTTTAGGGTTGAAGGTATGGGGTTTAGGGTTCAGGGGTTAGGGTTTAGGGTTTAAGGGGGTTCAGGTTTAGGGACAACCGTCAACTCTAGAGCGCAAGGGCCTAGTGGCGTCTACGGGTTTAGGGTTTAGGGTTTAGGGTTTAGGGTTTAGGGTCAGCTTCTGGCCATCTAAGGAAAAAGGATCGCTGCTTTACTTGGTGGGCTCCGGCTTAGGCAGAGCCTTGTGCCTGAACCCTCACCCCTAAACCCTCAACCCGAGACCCCAAACCCCTAAACCCCTTTAAGCCGCCCTTGTTCAGGGGGTGTAGTTGGGGTCTTCAACCCTAAGCCGTGCACGCTTAAAGCGTTCAGCCCGAGGGCTCGGGCCCCTAGGTTCAAAACAAAATGGGCCAAAGGGTTTAGGGTTTAGGGTTTAGGGTTTAGGGTTTAGGGTTTAGGGTGAAGAAGCCAACAGCAAAACCCAAACCCGAGACCTTGAACTAAAGCCCGCCACTTCGAGCCCGAGATCCTAAACACCGCGTCCCACGGCCTAATCCCCAACCCCCAAACCCCAAACCCCAAACCCTAAACTCTAAACCCTAAACCCTAAACCCTAAACCCTAAACCCTAAACCCTAAACCCTAAACCCTAAACCCCAAACCCCAAAGCCCCGAACCCCGAACCCCAAACCCTAAACACCAAATACACCAGAAGTCTGCAACACAGCGCCATGGCTGCGATGGAAGCCGGCAGCCCGCCCGAGATGTTCTTCGCCTCCCACGAACTCCTGTCTGAGGAAGAGAGGCGTGTTGTGGGGTATTCAGGGTGTAGGGTTTAGGCCCAAGTCCAAAACCCTAAGCCCTAAGCCCTAAACCCTAAACTCTAGGTGTTTAGTGTTTAAGGCTCAAGGGATTTAAGGGCTTAGGGGCTTTGAATGAATGGGTTTTGGGTTTAGGGTCCACCTTGAACCCCGAAGCCCTGAAATCACAAGCCGCCCCCAAATCCCTAAAGCCCTTTCAGGCACCAGCGTCTCTCCAGGACCTTGCTTCTTTCAAAGGGCATTTCAGGGTTGGGGATTTGGTTTAGGGCTTGGGATATATGCCCACCAGGACGCTGTCCTATGCGACGCTGGAGCACACGCTGCTCAAGTTCCGGCGCTTTCCGGCCTCTAGGTGGGAGCCTCTAGCGTCGCGTCAGTCGTTGTTCTCTGCCGTCACCCCTCTCAACCAGCCCGAAAACCACAAGACCCCAAGCCCTGAAACCTAAACCCAAAAACGTGAATCTCTTAACTGGATGGAGTCGTAGGTCTCTGTTGCCTCGCAGTTTTGAAGGCCGACATCTTGAGGGGTGCAGTGCGCAGGGTTGAGTGTTTCCCGTAAGAAAGAAGCTCCACAGAGGAGAAGCAGCTTAAGATTTCAGCCAGAAAGCTAAGCTGGCCAAGATGGAGTGCTTAAGCGCCATTGATGCTGTTGACGAGTTTATCTCCGAGCCGGCTGAACCCCAAAGGCGCTAATCCGCAACCGTCCAAATTGGCGTCAGACTGCTATTTTGACGATTTGAAATATTGCTACAGCCGTCTCTATTATTTTTGTTTGCTGTTGTTTTCAGTTGCTATTACTGCCGCTATCGAGAGCATTGCTACATTCTTACTGTTGTTGTCTTTGTCTTAGTGTTGTTATTGTCTTGTTTGCTACTGTTCTCACTGTCATTGTTCCAAACCCTAGGCCCTAAACCCTTAAGCCTTCATTCCACCCTAGCATCGGTTCTGAGTGCCTCTATCGTCACCCATGCCTAGCTCTCCTGTAAATCGGTAGCCCCGGCCCCGAAGGGGTTGAGGGTCAGGGTTTCGGGTGTCGGGCGTAGGGTTGGGGGGCTTGTCTTTGCATGGCCTTGGAAATTCCCGAAGATTTTCCACTCGCCCGACTTCGTCCCCATCCCAACACAGTGAAAATGCCCTCAACCCTATACAGACCCTAAACCCAAAAACCTACACGCAGCAAGCTTGGAAAGCGATTCGCGCCGGCGATATGCTGAACCCTAAAGCTTCAACCTTTGGAAACCAGCTCTCAATCTTTGCGGCAAGCCAGAGCTACTGGCTTTTAGGAGTGCCAAGTCGTACTCTTATACCAATCCCTAAATCCCCAAAACCCTGAACTACCTAAAGCTTAAACCCTGAACCCGAAGCCCTAAACCCTAACCCTGCAGCCCGAGTACGGCAACCTGGGAGGATGGCCCATTACATGAAGACCCGCCGCAGCCTCAGGGTTTAGGGTTTAGGGGCAACATCCGGTGGCCACAATAAGTGACAGATAACATATGCGGCCGGCCCAGCACTAACACCCCCTAAGTTCCCAAAGATTGTTTCGGCTTCGCCTTGCAGTTCAAACTAGGGTTTAGGGTTTAGGGTTCCGGGTTTAGGGTTTAGGGTTTGGAGAATCGCTCGGTTTTCAGAGCCAGAAACTCCAGCGACTTAGACGGAGGCTTGTTGTTTTTAGGGTTTTTAAACGGGTTTAGGGTTCAGGGCTGCTGTAGCCCAGTCGAAGTCCTCCTAGTCAGGCGCGCTGCGCTTGGATTGCCAAAGATGCCACCAAATAATTACTGCTTCTTGTAGCCTCTGACGTCATATTTCTGCAATATTTCTGTAAGCTGCCGAAGACCAGCAAACAGATCCGAGAAAGAAGTTGGTGAGGAAGCCTACAGGAAGCAGTCTCCCAAAATCGCCCATAGGGCGTAAAAAGTAACTACACAAAAGCCCTGTATTTTGGCATGCGGGGGCTACCCGAAACCCTAAACCCTAAACCCGAAACCCTAAACCCTAAACCCTAAACCTTGAACCCTCAACCCTAAACCCTAAACCCTCCTTGACTATGCTCCGGGGTCCGGGGCAGTCGGGCTCCACCGAGGTTTGGGAACGATGCGTTCGCTGCTCCTAGACTGTCACGGCTGGGACGGGTTTTAGGGTTTAGGGTTTAGGGTTTAGAGGGGTAATCTCTTTTGGTTAGGGGGGTTAGGGGCTCGGGGGCTTAGAGCGACCCAGAGCCAGCCTGCACCTCATATATATATATATATATATATAATATGTATATGGATGTGGAGCATATATATATATATATATATATATATATATATATATATATATATATATATATTACAGGTATGTAGAAAAGCCCGAAATGGACTCATTTTGGACCCTCCTTTGGAATATCGGTACACCCTCAACCTCCCACGACACTGAGCCAATTCCCCCTTGGTTGGACCTCAAAAAAAACCCTCAAAAACCCTTTACCGCGCCTGCACATCCAGAAAGCCCCAAAGCCCAAAAGCCCAACAGCCCAACACCCCACGTTTCGGGGTCTAGGGTTTGAGGTCAGTGTTTGGGGGTTGGGGTTCAGACTACTAATGTCAACGAGGTTTCCTGGGGTTACGGGTGGGGTCCTGTATCTTGCACACGGCCTGAACTCGACACACAACGACTCTAGCTGCGAGAAGTGGACATAGAGTCAACGAAATGGAGCGTCATGACACCAGTCAGCATTCGGACAACTAATCTGAGCTCAGATGTGGCTATCTCGCATCTCGTAGCGACAACCCTGCCCTGGTCGAAAATCGAAAACAGCCCTGCCACTGACAACACCCACAGCCTTGCATCACCCTCCAATGCCACTGCGGTTGTGCATCGAACTGACGCAAGCCCTGCGACAAAACATGTTGCATCGGAGAATCCGCAGGGGGGAGATGCACGTGGCGGGATTCATTATGTGATCCTCCAGAGCCACTTCGCGCATGCGACGCGGATTTCTTGCGTAAGCTTTAGGACGCTGACGAGGAGGTATTGTGGAAGGACAGCAAATGCGCCCTTGGCAACGCTGCCTTATGCTGCCTTACACCATGATTCCGTACATGTTGAGCAAGGTTTTACGTACATATATGCGTGGCACGTCTGTAGTTAGACGTATTGAGTTTTCCAATCCTGTTTTCAAACTGTTGCCTTCCTGAACGTCCTAAGTGCCAGCTTTGCGGAAGGTGGAATGGTCAATGGCATGGTCGACCTTTTGGGGGCGTTGCGCTCTCAAAAAAGCTTGTCACGTAACTACAAGTATATCATATCATAGTTCTCAATGCATCCAAAGCAGTCACACACACTGGCGTGTGTTCACGGCGCTCTCGGGCCTGCCGCCAAAGTGGGACATGATCATTGATAAGGCCCTCTATATCAATCCGAAGGGAAGAGATGGCATTGTTCTTGCTGATGACGCATCAACGCACGCAAACAATCCTCACCGTGACCTCAATGAAAAACCCGCTTCACACAGCTCCACAATGCATCGGCCAAAATGTCACAGAAACTGTCTTCATGTCCTTCTTGAAAAGGTTCCATTCCAAGCACAACGTAGTATGAGTGGCACGTCATCACCGATAACTTATTTCTCATGACATAATATCGTAACCCAAGTGTCCTCCCAGTATTGTAAGCCTCTACCCACACACGACAACCCTCATGCAACGCTCCTGATCTGATTTGCATATTACGATTCAATTGAATGGCGCACTTGCTAGTCAGCATAGTTCGTATGTGTGCCTGACGACAACTTCTAGCGTACTCCTGAACGTATTGTTCAATGCAGTCCATACTCTCCTGAATAAGTGGAAAAAGACATGAGTAACCTTCGCAAGGGTAGTGTTGTGGCAAATCCAGAGCATTGCAAAACCCTTTTAAGATGCTCTCTACTTGAAGTAGCCCAGACACCCTCGCACAAACAATGTGCGATCTGGTCCCAATAAATGGGAAAGTCCAAATCCTCAAAGCAGTCTCTCGCACGGCGACAAACAAAGAGAAGCTTCTTAAAATCAACTCACAGAGCACCAATAAAACAGCCTTTGCTACACTCCCGAAGCCAGTCGCTCGGAATCCAGGAACACTCACGTTGGAAAAACTGGTGTAGCTTGTCATGCCAACCACTTGTATTTCCCTAAACCTTCTCTTGCTCTGTAACTTATTCGACAATTCCAACACTCCATACTTAAACCAGGGGAATTGGGGAATTGAATTTACCAGGGTTACAGACTTCTGGAACTCTGGAAAAATTGCGAGTCTGGCATTCCGGATTCTTGGAGAACGAAGACATGGAGTTCTGGAACCATGGAACTTTGAACTCCAAGAAATGGCCGAATGTTAAACGTTTGGAATTCTGGAATTTGCGTCGTCATATTCTGATATGCATGCTAAACTTCAAAATGAGCATTCTTCACTACGCGAGCCATGATAAAGCCAGAAAGCACAGCCTTTTTTTACTGCATGTGGCTGAGTTATGACCACGTGCGCCAGCAATCTGTCTGCGTTGCTGGGTCAATCGTGCTACCATAATGTCAGGAACCGGCCTGCGCTCCTGTGTTTGGGCACGGTGCTTACTTGAGAAAAGTGCGCGGGCTAGTTCGTATCATGCTTCGTCCCGCGAAAGAAAATTCGTATCATATGATACGAACCACACGACCAGCGAAAAAAGTTCGTATCATATGATACGAACTTCACGACCTGTATAGTACGAACATGATACGAACTGCTTTTTCATGATACGAACCATGATACGAACTATGATACGAACTGAGGTTTTGCATGCAAAAACCGAAGTTTCCCAGCAGCTTGTAGATCACAACTCCAAACGTCAACACCCGGCCATTTCTTGAATTTGAGTGTTCTCAAGTTACAGAAGTCCATGTCTTCCTTCTCCAAGAAATCCAGAATGCCAGATTTGCAAATTTCCCAGACTTCCAGAAGTCCGGAACTCTGGAAAATTGAATTCTGGACCGAGAAGCCGCGAAGAAATGGAAAGCTGCAGTTCCGGAATTCCAGGTTTCCAGCCCCTGTCTATTCACGAATTCCCCCGGTTCAAGAATGGAGCGTTGGAATTGTCGAAAAAAGTACAGAACAAGATACGGTTTAGGGAATGCAAGTGGTTGGCAAGACAAGCTACATCAGTTTTTCCAACGTGAGTGTTACTGGATTCCGTGCGACTGGCTTCGGGAGTGTAACAAAAGCGCTCTGTGAGTTGATTTCAAGAAGCTTCTCTTTGTTTGTCGCCATGCGAGAGACTGCTTTGAGGATTTGGACTTTCCCATTTATTGGGACCAGATCGCACATTGTTTGTGCGAGGGTGTCTGGGTTACCTCAAGCAGAGAGCATAAGGCGTCTTGAAAAGGGGTTTGCAATGCTCTGGATTTTGCCAGGGATCACGAACTACCCTTGCGAAGGAAATTCATGTACTTGTTCTTCCACTTATCCAGGAAAGTATTTGCAGTCGCGACGATCAATACGAGCTTGCCTTGATACAAAGACTTGGGGCGATTTGAGGATTGCAATGCTTTCGACCCAAGGAGAACAGTACAGGCTGAGCGCCCCAGTTGCGCAACTACACAATTATACGTCCCATAACTACAGCTTGTTGCCATCCTCTCACTCATAACAGGCTTATGCGCCATCTTGTACCTGGCAGGCCCCACCCTGTAAGACCCCGACAACGAAAGGCAAAAATAAAAACATACCATTCAGGGCCTCGCTAAACCCTGAACCCCAACACCTGAAATCTGGCAAGGCGCCATTAAATTGAAGAGGAATCTGCAAATCATATCAGGAGGGTTTCACTCGGCATGAGGGTTGCCTTATATCGGTGCCGTCATGCCACTCATACTACATTGTGCAATCTTAGGTACTGGAACCTGCTTTTAAGAATGACATGAAGACATTTTCTGCGGCATATTGCCCGATGCATTGGGGGGCTGCATGAAGCGGTTTTTCATGCGTCATCAGCAAGAACAATGCTATCTCTTCCCTTCGGATTGATATAGAGGGCCTTATCAATGATCATGTCCCACTTTGGTGTTGAAAACTATATGATATACTGGTAGTTGCGTGACAAGCACTTTTGAGAGCGCAACGCCCCGAAAGGTCGACCATGCCATTAATCATTTAATAGTTTTAAGACAGGAATTTGGGATGATTGGAATTTCAACAATGGAGAATGAGTTTTTGAATAGGGGATTCATGGAACTACGTCTAACTACGTATCTATCACGTCCAGATTCCTAGACGTGCCACCCCTATATGTACGTAAATCTTGCTCAAGATATCCGGAATTGATGTTGCGAATTCCCTGCGCCGCAAAGGCAGCATAAGGCAGCGTTGCCAAGGGGCGGGCACATTTGCTGTCCTTCCACAATTCTTCGTGGTCAGCATCCTAAAGCTTGCGCAAGAAATCCGTGCTGCATGTGCGAAGTGGCTCTGGAGGATCACATATAATGAATCCCGCCACGCGCATCTCCCCCCTGCGGATTCTTCGATGCAACATGTTTTCTCGCAGGACGAAGGAGACCCTTTTTGTTGGGGGGGGTGGGGGGGGGGGCGGGGGGGGAATGTGGATGCTTGGGGGAGTTGCAAGGGCGATCAAGGTTGCTCGGGTGTCAGTTCGATTCCATCCGCAGTGGCATTGGAGGGTGATGCCTTGCTGTGTGACTTGTCAGTGGCAGGGCTGTTCTCGATTTTCGACCAGGGCAGGGTTGTCGCTACGAGATGCGAGATAGCCACATCTGAGCTCAGATTAGTTGTCCGAATGCTGACTGGTGTCATGACGCTCCGTTTCGTTGACTCTATGTCCACTTCTCGCAGGTATAGCCGTTGTTTGTCGAGTTCAGGCCGTGTGCAAGATACAGGACCCGACCCCTAACCCCAGGAAACCTCGTTGACATTAGTAGTTCAGACGAAACAAACATACTACTTTCATTCCGGTTCCTGAGGGGAGTAGAGAGCCCAAAATCCTCGCCGGTTGAGAGGGGTGAACGAGGGGTCTTCTAGGACTGGCCCTAAACCCTAAACCCTAAACCCTAAACCCTAAACCCTAAACCCCAAACCCCAAACCCCAAACCCCAAACCCCAAACCCCAAACCCTAAACCCCACTAAGCTGTTAGACGCCTGTAAGAAGCCCCAGGCTTCCTAAGTTCCACAGAGCAGTCGAAGAGTAGCTGTAGGCATCGGCCGAAGACGAGGCCCCACTTCGCCCAAACACCCACGGGTTTGGGGTTTGGGGTTTAGGGTTTAGGGTTTGGGGTTTAGGGTTTAGGGTTTGGGGTTTAGGGTTTAGGGTTTAGGGTTTGGGGTTTAGGGTTTAGGGTGTAGCCCTAAACCTTACAGGTCTCACAGCCGGCAGGCTACGGAATCGAGTTGGTGACGTCGTGGTCGAGGATGCTTTCGGCGACCCAGCCGTGAGCAACATCTCCGAAGGACAGTCCGAGCCCAGGGGTTGGGGTGGGGGGTTTAGGGTTTAGGGTTTAGGGTTTAGGGTTTAGGGTTTAGGGTTTAGGGTTTTACGGTTTAGGGTTTGGGGTTTAGGGTTCAGGCGTTTAGGTTTCAGGGTTTAGGGTTAACTAGTGGTTTTGGACGGAGGGTGCAATCTCCGGTGTTGTCAGGAGTGTTTCGTGGGTGCAATGTCATGTTGCTGTGCTGGCGCTTTGGTGGAAGCACGAGTTTCCCCGGGTTCGCAACCGATACGCTGTTCATCGAAATATGCCCCTGCACTCTGCAGCTTGAAAGCCCAAAGCCCGAAACCACTCCGGGACACCAATGCGTGATTAGCATGGCTCATGGCTGTACAATGGCCAAGGACATCCCTCAGACTCCCCATTCTATCATGATAAGGTGAGGTACCGAAGATGCTCATGTTATCCCCCATCATGACATAAACCCTAAACCCTGAACCCTGAACCCTAAACCCTAAAACCCATTCGAACAAAGGTGGTATTTGTAAAATAGAATCTCCCGCGATAGCCTTGTGGCTTCTAGGAGATGGCCCCTCCAAAATTTGTGGGGGGCGGTTCCTTAAAGCCTAAACCCTCAACCCTAAATCCTAAGCCCTAAACCCTAAACCCTAAATCCTAAACCCTAAACCCTAAACCCTAAACCCTAAGCCCTTTGCTGTCCAGCTAAACTACACTACCGGGAATCATCAGCGACCCGAAGGGAGCCAGAATTTTCAACACACCCCCCTGATATCATGTGTGCGCGTACGTATATAGTGTATGTGTACCTGTATGTGTAGGGAGAGAGAGAGAGAGAGAGAGAGAGAGAGAGAGAGAGAGAGTGGGAGGGAGGGAGGGAGGGAGGGAGGGAGGGAGGGAGGGAGGGAGGGAGAGAGAGCGAGAGAGAGCGAGCGCGCGTGAGAGTGAGAGAGGGAGAGAGGAAGAGAGCGAGAGAGAGAGAAAGAGACACACACACACACACACCAAACGAACCTGCGTTTTGCGAGTTTCATGCGCTGCGCCGTGAAATCGGGGCGCCCCCTGGAGCGCAACGGTGGGGGTGTGGGCAACCCCTTCATGCCTGGCAGAAGAAGACGAATGAGAATCAGTCTAGGGTTGAATAGGAAGAAGATGAAGAAGCATAGCAACAATGACAATAAGAAGGGACAAGAACAATCTAGAGAGGGGGCAGACCATTGGGTCGAATTGGTGGCCAGGCGGTTTAATCAACTATTTCTGTTTTCTCCTAGGAGAGGGACATACACTTCTCTGAGCACACAGTCGAGTTACTTCGTTCTTGTTTGGCACTTCTGGAAGAAGGCGAAGAAGAGACGTAGTTCCAAAAGTGTTGACCGTTACAAGGATTGGGGGGAGGAGGGTCCACGAGCCCGGGATCATACGTGTCTCTGCGTCTCCTCCACCCTTTGGAAGAACCTCAGCTAACCCCGAACCCAACCCCAAATTTTTTCCTATGGGATGGGGGAATTTTAAGGCATACACATTTAGATTGAAAGAGCTGCTGGGCACCCCGTCCTACTTGTATCTGCACCTGGGAGGAGTCAAGCGAGGGGTGCTCCTTGCTCACATGTACATTTGGGGGTTTGTCCCCGTCAAGGCGCGGACGGTTTGACGGACATGCATCATTGCTACGCTGCTAGACTGATCCCAATCTATCACAGGGCCGAAGTTCGGGGGCAGTTCCCGGGTTCGTTAGGTTCTTTTCGGACATCCTTTGTGTGCCATATGGTTGGATTTGGAGCTAAACCCTCAACCCTGAACCCAAATTCTTTAGATTTCTTGTTCATGCCAGTGCCCGTGCAGGTGGACTACTTTCGATCGAATCGGACCGGCATCGGTGCACCACTTGCTGGCGGACGGGACGTATCACCTCACAGAGAAAGCCTCTATCTCGCCACGGCCCGGGGCGTGGGAGGGGGGGCCCATCCCCGAACACTTGGGCTACACATAGTAGCAAATCCCTCAACAACTCAACAACCGGAAAGCAACTGCCCGAAGAACCTTAAACCCTAAACCCTAAACCCTAAACCCTAAACCCTGAACCCTGAACCCTGAACCCTGAACCCTGAACCCTGAACCCTAAACCCTAAACCCAACCTGGCCCGCGCAGGCCTGGGCGGATGAGGTGGCCTTCCTGAAGGCGCCTCGGCATCAGTCCATGAAAGCGTCCAGGAATGAGCCTGCATAGAGCAGTTTATGTGTTTAGGGATGAGGATACATTACGCGTGTATGTAGAGTCTATATGTATATGTATGTGTATATACATATATATATATATGCATATGCATATGTATATATATATATGTATATATGTATATATGTGTGTGTGTTGTATGTGTGCAACTAGATACACGTTGCTTTCTCGGTTTCGGGTTTAGGGCTTAGGGCCTAGGGCCCTAGGGGCTGACATGCGTAGAGGTTAGGTTTCTGCCCGATCAGCTGGACCGTCAGGATGATGCTATCGGGACCCTCTTACTTTGTGGTACTTTACCGTAGCTTTAGATCCTTACCTTTTTTGGGTTTATTGGGTTTCTTATTAAGGCAGCTAAAAGTTTAATTTTTAGCTACCCTCCTGAGTGCAGCCAAGCTTAGTTTTTTGTCCAAGTGGCCTGTTTTGACGTTCCGAAAGGTGGCATTGGCAGCAGTTGTGATCCGTCATAGGCTGCTCCATCAAGAATCCCTGACAATCCCTCAACACCCTACACCCTCAGCCCTGACCGGGCTCTAAGTCCTGACCCCGAAATCTTAAACCCTAAAGCCCTAAACCCTAAACCCTAAACCCTAAACCCTAAACTCCTTTAGGGGGGGGAGGCGGGGAGGGTGTCCCATGTCGCAAGGAGCTTCGTGGCCGTGCGCGCAGCGCCGCTGCGAAGTCCCGATGCCGGGCCGAACTCCTGAAGTTAAACCCTCCTGGGCCCAAGGTACTATGGGGGTCGGAATAATAACGGTTTAGGGTTTAGGGTTTAGGGTTTCGGGTTTAGGGTTTAGGGTTTAACAGTATTCCCTTATGGCCCTATATAATGAATACTAGAATAAGCCCACTCTAACGAGTAGGGTCCCTAAACCCCCCTTTGGGCCCTCGCTTGGTTTCAGGAAGCTCGGGGTTCAGGGTTTAGGGTTTAGGAAGTTCAGGAAGTTCAGGAAGTTCAGGAAGTTTCGGAAGTTTAGGAAGTTTAGGAAGTTTCGGAAGTTTAGGAAGTTCAGGAAGTTTAGGAAGTTTAGGAAGTTTAGGAAGTTTAGGAGGTTTAGTAAGTTTTTGAAGGTGTAGGAAGCCTCGGAAGTTTTAGCGTTTGGGGTTTCGGGATTGGGGTCTTTGACAGTTGGGCCTTTTCCCCTCAAGCAGCCTTCACCCTAAACCCTCAACCCTAAACCCTAAACCCTAAACCCTAAACCCTAAACCCTAAACCCAAACCCTAAACCCAAAACCCTGTTCATGTCGGCCAAGGACACGCGCGGCAGATTTTTCCGCACTCCTTCTGCAGAACCGGCTGGTTCAAGGCCTACGTCTTTTTGTAGGGTTCAGGTTTTAGGCTTTAGGGATAGGTTCATGGGTGGTTATCATTCGGGCTATAAGCAGGCTACCTTACTTATAACCTACCTATGGCTACCCATGCACCTTCAAGTTGTGGGCTTCTTCACCTCAAAACCCATAAGAGCCTGAACCCTTGGGACACTATCGGGTGGGGGGGCGGGGCTACACAGCTATGCAATCGCGCCATCGGGAGTGCAGCCCTGAAACTGCAGCAAAGGCGCGCTCCCGCGGGCGTACGCTGATACACCCTAAACTTTGAAACCCCTAAAGCCTCAACTTTTCAGCGTGCAGGTGCCGATGCTGTCGGACTGCACCGACTTCCTTTGGAGGTGTGTCTTCTGTGTCGCAAGCCCTAGGGTTCAGGTCGTTTGAAACGTTCCCAACTCTCAGCCCGAAACGCTGAGCTCCAAGCCGTAAACCCTAAATCCCCAAATCCCCAAACCCCCCGTCCCGACTATTCATCCCCGGTCCTCTGCCTCCAGGACCCTTCGTGCTGGATGGCTGCAAGGCGCCTCGTTGTGAGGGTTTAAGGGCGCAGTGGCCCTCCAAGGCACTTCATTCTGGGTTTCGTGTTTCGGGTCTAGGCTTTTCGGGAACAAAGCCTCGTTTTGTTGGTGTTCTTAAAGGACCGGAACTTCAATGAGGCCGCATGGGCCTCATCGAATTACTTGTGGTCTAAGGTCTAACGACTTTCTCCCAACTCTAGTCTGCATGGAGGTTTTGAAGTTGTACTAGGGCAGGGGTTGGGACTAAGTGGACGCTTACATCCCCACTAAACCATAAACCCTAAACCCTAAACCCTAAACCCTAAACCCCAAACCCTAAACCCTAAACCCTAAACTCAATCCCAAACCAAGGCCCAAGGCCTCAACTTAGAACCTGAATCCCTGGGTCAAAACTGCAGTTCTCCGACCAGTGCGCCCCAAACCCCAAACCCCAAACCCCAAACCCCGATCCCCGAACCCCGAACCCCGAACCCCGAACCCCAAACCCCAAACCCCAAACCCCAAACCCCCAAACCCCAACCCCCAAACCCCAAACCCCAAACCCCAAACCCCAAAAACCCCAAACCCCCAAGCCCCAAGCCCCAAGCCCCAAACCCCAAACCCCAAACCCCGAACCCCAAACCACAAACCCCAAACCCTAAACCCGAAACCCCAAACCCCAAACCCTAAACCCCACACCCTCAACCCCCAAGGGGGGGGGGGAAAGTAGCCCACGGCGTGGCATCCTGGCAAGGCCCAATCTCCCCGGACCAGCACTTGCCGGACTTGCTGCCGCGGCGGTCCTGCCACACGACCCGCTCTGCAGAGGGAACGTCCGGGTCGAGCCCTAAACTTCAAGGGGTTTTGTAGGGTCTAGCCCTAAACCCTAAACCCTAGAAGGTAAACCCTAAGCCATAATTCCACCCGAAACCCTAAACCCTAAACCCTAAACCCTAAACCCTAAACCCTAAACCCTAAACCCTAAACCCTCAACCGCATTTCAGGGTTTTAGGTTTTGGGGGATTGGCGTTCAGGGCGCCTCGAACTTTTTTCAAGTGCCTGAGACAAGCAAGGCAAGCTGCTGAGCACCGCCGTGGGCGTCGCGACGAAGCTCCTGGTGTCGAGCAGCTGCGCCCAGCCCCGAATCGATTCTGTGGGGGGGCTCTGGCTCTATAGGGCTTTTGGTAGAGTTTCGGGTTTAGGGTTTAGGGTTTCGGGTTTAGGGTGGTTTGTGGCAGAGTTTCGGGTGTAGGGCTTTGGTTTTTGTTTTGGGATGTTTAGGGTGCGGGGTGTTTTGGGGATCTAGGCTTGTTTCTGGTTAATTTTTGCTGCGGGCATTGCAGGTGGGCATCTGCGTTTCGGGCTTGCGTTAAGGCTTCTTAGGGTCTTGGGCCTGACAGATTCGCGCCTGGGTTTAGGGTTTTGGGGCTTTTTGGGGTTGTGGGGTTTTGGGTTTCCCCTGGTCCTTACTTAGTAAGGAATGGGGGAAAAAGGTACCCCACTTACTCCCTTAAAGGGTATATATAGGGGGAATTAGGCTACTTCATTCCCTCTTTCCCTACTAAGAACTTGCCAGTTTTGGGGGTTTTGGGGGCCTTACAAAGTGCTGCAACCAGCTCCAAAAAAGGGTACCTTTATCTACACCATACGACCCCACCCCCCCTGCCCTCCGCCCAAATCGGAGCTGGGTCTCGCGAGGCCTGGCCGACGACGCGCAGTTCCACGCGGCCTGCGCCCTGAGCGAAGCTTCGGCTGTTTAGGGGGGTTTATAGGGCTTTAGGCTTTAGGCTTTAGGGTTTAGTGTTTAGGGTTTAGGGGTTAGGGGTTGGGGGTTTAGGGGGTCTGGGGTTTAGGGGGTTTCGGGTTCAGGGGGTAATTTGGTTCGGGGTCACGGTTTGGGGGTTGAGGGTTTGGGGGTGTTTTCTGCTGGGGGCGCAGAGGGTGTATGGATGAGCGTTCGGCGCTAAGGAAACGGTTTTAGGTTGGGATGTTCCCCCTATACTAATAGTCGTTAATAGGGATTATACTCGGGGTACTATAATCCCTATTAAGGACTGTTCGTATAGGGGGAACATCCCAAGGTTTAGGGGGCAGAAGCCTGCTTGCGAGACATCTGCCGTGTTTTGCCCTCTTGCGCTCGCGGCAGAAGTGCATCTCCATCAGCAAACTTTCCGCCTGGATGTTTGGTGCCCCTTCAGGCAACAAACAGGTGTGACCTTGCAGGTTGCTAACCCTCAACCCTCAACCCTCAAGCCTCAACCCTCAACCCTCAACCCTAAACCCTAAACCTTAAACCCCAAACTCTAAACCCTAAACCCTACGGTAGACCCAGGAGATGGTCTCCATGCAGGATCTGGACATGGACTCTTGGAGCTAAATGCTGTCGGATTGCGGTTTAGGGTTCAGGGTTTAGGATTTAGGGCCCGAACCCTCGACCCTTCATGCCTTCAGAGCCCCCAACAAGAACCCTAGTATAGGGGTCGGGATAATTTCTAACCATATTCCCTTATGGTCCCTCTATGAATTATTCAAAAAACAACCCCTCAAAACCCAATTTCCAATTCTTCAGGCTCCTACATTAAGAGCCCCTTTTCCCACCCTGAGGCCGCTGCGCACTGGGAGGTGGTGGCGCTACTCCTGCGCCTCGCCCTCTTGTAACACTAGCTTGGTAGCCCAGGTCTTTTTTTTCTCATGACAAAGTGGCTATCCCAAAGGCTCGCATCCTCTCTCACTTGAAGGTGTTTAGGGTTTGGGGTTGACGGGCTTTAGGTTTTAGGGTTTAGGGTGAGGCTACTCTGGGTAGGACATCGGAGTCCATCTGTACGGGTGTTGGCCCCCCAAGCCTGAAACACCCCCTAAACCCTAAACCCTAAACCCTAAACCCTAAACCCTAAACCCTAAACCCTAAACCCTAAACCCTAAACCCTAAACCCTAAACCCTAAACCCTAAACCCTAAACCCTAAACCCCTACCCTAAACCCTAAACCCTAACTAAACCCTAAACCCTAAACCCTAAACCCTAAACCCTAAACCCTAAACCCTAAACCCTCAACCCTCAACCCTCAACCCTCAACCCTCAACCCTAACCCTAAACCCTAAACCCTAAACCCAAAACCCTAAACCCTAAACCCTTGAACAACCCCTGAGGCCTGAGCCCTCTGCCCTGTCTCATCCTCTGGGCCTGCTAAATCAGCAGCCCTTGAGCCCCAAAACACATACCCTAAAACCCTAAACCCCAAGCCCTAAACTTAAAACCTTTACACCCTAAACCGCAAGCCAACCACAAGCCCTCAACCCTCAACCCTCAACCCTCAACCGAAAACCCTAAACCCTAAAGCCTACTAAAGCCCAAAACCGAACTTCTGACAGGCTCCTCTGCGACGGCTGCCGCCTGGATGGCCGCGGATTCACCGCGGGGGCCCTCGACCAGGTGGCACTCTTCGTGCTCGGGGGGGGGGGGTTATGCAGGGGTCGGAATTACTAAAAAAGCTTATTCCCTTACGGTTCCCATTAGAAAAGTTCTAGAATACACCCCCCAAAAAACCCCTACTTTGACTATTGAAGGCCCAGAAAGTCTATACAGTAGGGTTTAGGGTTTAGGGTTTAGGGTTTGGGGTTTAGGGTTTAGGGTTTAGGGTTTAAGGGGTTCAGGGTCTTAGGATTCAAGACGTCATGAGGCCGGTGGAGGGTTTGGGGAGCCTGGGGCTTCAGGGCTACACCTGGATTTTTGGAACCCAACACCCCTGAACACCCTAAGCCCGGGACCGCCAAAACCCCGAAACCCCGTAAACCCTAAACCCCCTAAACCCTAAACCCTAAACCCTAAACCCTAAACCCTAAACCCTAAACCCTAAACCCTAAACCCTAAACCCTAAACCCTAAACCCTAACCCTAAACCCTAAACCCTAAACCCTAACCCTAAACCCTAACCCTAAACCCTAAACCCCCAAAAACTCCCCCAAACCCCCAAACCGTTCAAAGCCCCTCAAGACCCCCCAACAAAACTCCTCCCCTCAAGACTCCTCCCCAACTCCCCCAAAACCCTCCAAACCCCTCCCAAAAACCCCCAACCCCCCCACAAACCTCCAAAACCCGCCCCAAACCCCCCCCCCCCTCTCCCCCCTCTCCCCCCTCTCCCCCTCTCCCCCCTCTCCCCCTCTCCCCCCTCTCCCCCCCCTCCCCCCCCCTTCCCCCCTCTTCCCCCTCTCCCCCCTCTCCCCCCTCTCCCCCCTCGTCCCCCCTCTCCCCCCTCTCCCCCCTCTCCCCCCCTCTCCCACCTCCCCCCCCCCCGCCCCCCCGCCCCCCCAAACCCCCAAAACCCTCAACAGGTTCTATGGACCTTCGGAAGTTTGGTGATCGAGGCCACCCGCCTCAAGCGAGTGCGCCCCCACGAGGTGCTTTTCGGGTTTTGGGGTTCGGGGTTTAGGGTTTGGGGTTTAGGTTTTTTTGGGGGGGTTTGGGGTTTAGGGTTAGACCCAAAACCCTGAACCCTAAACGCCGCAAGCCCCAAGCCTGAACCCTGAACCCCCACAACGCTGAACCCTAAACCCTAAACCCTTAAGACGACATCGGCAGAACTGGTATGTATATAATATCATTCGGACTTCAACCCTCAGCCATAAAATCGCTTGGCCGCAATCGGTGCCTCGTCCGCGGCTTGTGGGGCTTCGAGTTCGACCTCAGGGGTTTAGGGTTTAGGGTTTAGGGTTTAGGGTTAGGGTTTAGGAGATGAGGCCTGGGGCCTATGAGGCTCAGCCATACATGGGGGGCTGCCCAAGAACCTATCACCTTGGGGTAACCGGGGGGATGAGATCTTGTTTTGGGCCCTAAGCCCCAAACCCCAAAAAGCGTTAAAAACCCTAAACCCGAAACCCCGAAATCCCGAACCCTTACCTTCAAGCCCAAACCTCAAACCCTACTCGAAGGATCACGGGTAGTTATAAGAAAGGTTAGAAGTGCCTTAGGCAAGGTTATACTAGAGTTACCTTACTTGTAACCTCACTTATAGCCACCCATGAACCTTCAAGTAGCTAAGCTCTGGGATTCCCCCCTGGTCCAGGAGCCCCTGGCGTACCTGCAGGCTGCAAGGGCGGTCCCTGGGCGCAAGCAGTGGCGCTTCAGGGTTTATCTCTGCTCCTCAGCCTTCGCAACCCCAAATTCCAGTCAGTCATAGGGTTTAGAGGGTTTAGGGTTAATGGGGGTCCCTAAACCTACAACTTCAAGGGGTCGATTCCGGGTAGATAGTCCTCCAGGTTTGCCCCTCGTGCGAGGGTTTAGGGTGTTTAGGTTTCATTAGGGTGTAGGTTTCAAGATTTGGGCCCTAGTATTCGTCTTGCACACTCTTACAGAGTTCGACTACATCCAAGGAAACTGCCCAACAAAAGAACCCTGCACCCTAAACCCTAAACCCTAAACCCTAAACCCTAAAACACCCTACAAACCATCAGGCTTCGTGTACATTGCTTGGGCCGCTTAGGGCGAAAGGTCAGCACAAGGCAGGCCAACAAAACCCGAAACCCTAAACCCTAAGCCCTAAACCCAAAACCCTAAACCCTAAACCCTAAACCCTAAACCCTAAACCTTAAACCCCTTACTCCTTAAACCCTAAACCCCTTACCCCTGAAACCCTACACTCGCACCCCCAACACACGGCGGCGCGCCTGCTGCGCTGAAGCGTGCGCCCAAGGCAGCGCAAGCCGTGCCAATCTCAGCCTGGCGTTCGCGGAGGGAGCCCCATTCCTTCGGCAGGTCCTTGGGAGCGGGGTTGAGTGGGGGGGTTGGGGTTTAGGGTTTAGGGTTTAGGGTTTAGGGTTTAGGGTTTAGGGTTTAGGGTTTAGGGTTTAGGGTTTAGGGTTTAGGGTTTAGGGCTTAGGGTTTAGGGTTTAGGGTTTAGGGTTTAGGGTTGGGAGGGTTTGGGGGCTTCAGGTTCAGGGCTTTGGGTTTGTTAGGACCTCAGGGTTAGGGCTTCTGAGGGCTGAAGGCTTAGGGTTTAGGGATCCCCTTTAACTGCCGAAGGGAAGGCGGGCTTCTTCCAGCACGTCGGGATCCAAGCCCTAAACCCTAAACCCTAAACCCTAAACCCTAAACCCTAAACCCTAAACCCTAAACCCTAAACCCTAAACCCTAAACCCTGAACCCTAAACCCTAAACCCTAAACCCCAAACCCCTAAACCCTAAACCCTAAACCCTAAACCCTAAACCCTGAACCCTGAACCCCTAAAACCCTAAACTGGGCTCTGGCTTCCGTCGGGTTGGGGTGCGGAGGCCGCCCTGCCAGCGTGTTCTGCGAGGACCGCGGCTCGGCCTGGTGGTGTCACAGGATCTTTGGTTTACCACTTTCGGGGGTTTAGGGTTTTTCAGGGTTTTCAGGGTTGTTTTAGGGTCTTTTAGGGTTTTTGAGGGTTTTTGGGGTTTAGGGTTTGGGGTTTGGGGTTTAAGGTTTAGGGTGTATGGGTTTATGGGTTTAGGGTTTAGGGTTTATGGGGTCAGGGTTTATGGGCTAAGGGTTTAGGGTTTAAGGTGCAGGGTTTCGGGCTTAAGGGCCTTGAGGGCTTCTGGTTTGTCGATGTCGGAGACTTGCCATGGCCTGGAAACGGTTGTGATTCTCAGGGGACTCTGCAAAGTTAGGCAAAGTTTCAAGTCTGCCTGGGCTGCTTAGTTTTCTTTCAAGATAGAGCGCCCCCCCCCCCTCCCCCCCTCAGACCAGGCCTGCGTCTCTGCTTGAGTGAAGCCATACTAAGAATATACAGAAGTGAAGTCGCAATAGCAATAGTAACAACAGATAACAACAGTGACGTCACAGCAGTGATCGTGAAGTCACACGAGTTGTATCTTCACCTTGCAGGCTCTGTGTCCACGATGGGCAGCTGCACCTCGGCTTCAGTTTAGATTTAGGGTTTAGGGCTTGGGCCTTACAGATTCCCCAAGTTCTCCCATCCCCCCCCCACCCCAATAGGTTCTTATCAACACACCCTAGACCCTAAGCCCTGAACCTCAACCCCTTAATCTTAAATCCTAAGCCCTAAACCTTAAACCCAACACCCGAAGCCCCGAGGTCTTCTAGTGGCGGAGCAATGAGTCACGAGCAAGAGCAGAAGACCGATCCGAAGCACCCTAAACCCTAAACCCTAAACCCTAAACCCTAAACCCTAAACCCTAAACCCTAAACCCTAAACCCTAAACCCTAAACCCTAAACCCTAAACCCTGCACCCCTGAAAAGGGGGGCACAGTACAGGGGCCTCTTTGGCTTGGTTTGGGGTTTGGGGCTTAGGGTTTCGGGTTTGGGGTTCAGGGTCCTTTTCGTTGGGCAGTTTATACTCTGATTGAGGCTATCCTGAGGTTTAGGGTTTAGGGTTTAGGGTTTTGGGTTTAGGGTTTAGGGTTTGGGGTTACCCTTATAAAGTGTACTAGGTATATTTGGGGGGTCTAGGTGCAACTGGGTCATCGTTGAAGAGAGTCTGAGACTTTTCTTGGTACTTGAGCCCGAAGAAACAGGTGTCCTTTTTCATAGCACCCCCTGCTGTGGCTCAGCTGCTCTAGT